ATTGCCTCTCACATCACCCCCTCCCTGGGAGCCAGAGACTGGGCATTGAACTTCCTGCAGAGACTCCCTTCCTGTCCTTGACATGGCTTGTCAGCAGAACGCCGCCTGAGTATCAGGGAGATGGCCTCTTCCTCCCTCTCCTCCCTTCAGCCTTGTAAATCTATCTCCAGCATGTCTAATTGATGGGCTCTAATCTGTATCCAGAACCCCAGCTGCAAGGGAGTGTTGGTAATGTAGCGTTTAACTTTCCAGCTTCTGCAAGATAGGAAGGCACAGAGGTGGGAATGGATGCTAAGGGCATCAACCGTGTCCCACATGCAACCTGATAGGTTTAACCCAGTCGACACCTGAAGAGACTTGGCACAGGGCCTGGCACATAGAACTCACTCAATAAGTGTTAGCTGTTATTCTTATTCTTGGGCTGAGGCACCAGCAAGAATTGCCTGGCCCTGCCCACGAGCCCTGGCAGAGAGCAGCAGAAGCGGAAATGCCTTTGCCCAGCATGGTGCTGTCCATGGTACTGAGAGCCCTGCTGGACCCAGCCAGGAGCGACGGTATCATTGCCCTGCTTACATCATGGGCCCAATGGCAAGGTGGAACTCCAATCCTCTCACCACGTGCTGAGGCTTCAGGAGCCACTGTGGCGGAGGGGATGTTTGGGGACCTCTAAGGGAAGGCTGGCTTCGATCCTATGAAGAGGACAGCAAAAGCAACAACTTATGTTTGTGGCACAGTTTACAGAAAGAGTCTCCATGCACTATCTTCTTTAACTAACCCTCATAACCACCCTGGCATATGCAGGACAGATATGATCTTCAAGAAGAAAACTGAATAGCAAGAGGTTAAATAGCAGCTGCTAAACAGTAGAGCCAGATTCACACCCAGTCTCCTTACCTGCAGCTGTATGCTCCTTCCGCTCCCTGCAGTGACTTGGGGAGGGAAACTTGGTAACCAATGTGCGCTATGTGGGGGCAAAAATTTGGGACTCGTACTCTGTGCACTGTGCAAATGTGTGCAAACCACCTACATTTTATTCTTTCCTACCCCTAAGTGTGTCTCTGGGTAAAGGGCCTTCTGTCTCATTGAGGCCGACTATGTGATGGTCTTTGGGAGAACCATGGAAAATATAAGAGAAAGACACGGTCCTACTATCAAAGAGCCCATGGATTTGTTGGGGAACTGGCTGCTCATGTGCATGGAAAAGTGAGAGGATAGTCCCAGGCAGTGGTTGCAAGGCCAGCTGTGTGAAGAGGGTGGGAACAAGGTGCAGACAGGGCTGGTCATCTGAAAGAAGGTTCAGAGGAGTAGAATATAAGCTGGACTCAGGGGCTTTAAATGCTGATGAGACCAAGGTTCACCAAAGTCCAGGAAGAAGTGCCTCAAGCTGTGTAGGGGTGGGACAAGCAACTCTGAATAAGGGGGCTGGTGGGGCAGAACAGAGAGTACCCTAAGGAAGTAGCCAGGCCAGTGGCCTCTGGGGTAACGGGAGGAATACCAGAGCCTGGAACTTCCAGTGAAGAGGTGGTGTGGGCCTCTGTAGATTTTCAACCAACTCTCCACAGATTTACGACCAGCTTGGGGAGGGGGAAGAGATTGCATGGGAGGAGAATATAAGGACCAGCCTCATGAACTGCCACGCTGTGACATGGTTTAAGAGGCAGTGAGGTATCATCCTTTACCCCCACATCTCCCCACCCTCTCTCCTTATTTAGGAAGAGTGAGAAAACTTTTGGGGTCATCAAGAACTCCTTCTCTAGGTGCAAATAACCCTGGAAATCTCAGTCTGCTGCTTTTATGTCTTGGCTGCACACAATAATTGACTGGAGATCCTCATGCTTAATGTCTCGGGTGGAACATGAGTATCTAGATTTACTAAACACCTTCTAGGTGATTCCAGTGACCCCCTCCCAGGCTAAGGAGTCACTGAAAGCAGTGAGTGGGGAGCCAAAAACCCCAGTTCTATCCCCAATCCACCATTTTCCCCAGCCTTAAGCAAATCTCCATGTCTGCTGGAGACTCAATTTCTCCATGTGTAAAGCTGAGCAAACCACTCTTTGTCGTGAAGATTTGAGGAGTTTGAGGATGGTATGGAGCAGGGAAGGGCTTACTGATATTTAGGGAAAGATTTATGGCCAGCGGACATGTCAGTGGTAAAGGATGTGAACCAGAGCCCTTCATTCCAGTGACACACCCTCCCTCTCTCCACACCTCCTCCAATAGTACCCAGCCCCCTAGCTGTGAGAGTGAACCTCGCTGAGAGGGGGGCCCTCAGTGAGAAGGGGCAAGAGGTGATGGGGGCAGGACAGGAGACCTGGAGAAGAAGGAAGAAGGGGAGGTGGGAGGTGATGCCCAGGACCAGGAATCCCAGCTTGTTTGTTTAAGTCCAGAACCATGGGAGATAATCTTACCTGTTGTTTACAAAAAGGTGATTAATTATTGAAACTACTGGGAAGGCTAAATGGTAAGAGGGCAGGGCAGGAGCTGTGACTTTGTGCACTCTGGGGGTCATGGGGTCAGGGGAGAAGGTGGGGGTGGCTCCCCATCCGTAGCATCTTTTCCTAGGACATGGCTTGTGGCTATAGTGATTCTCTAATCCAAACCAAAACACATGCCCTATGGAGCAGTTCCTGAGAACTCATGGGGATGGTGGAGCAGACTGGGCCCTGGGCTGTGCTGGGAAATGCAGGCTCAGTGGCTGCAGATCCAGCCTGGGTTCCTGGCTCAGCCCACCCTGCTCTCTGCTGCATCACCCTAAAGGCTAGGGAAGCTGCTGTCCCTGGACTAAAGTCTGAGCAAGGTCATCCCCTTCCTCTGCCCCCTGCTCAGCATGTCCAGAGCAGCAGAGGCTCAGGGCCAGCAAAACAGAGGGTTACAAATGGTCTGGCTTCAGGGCCAGCTCTGCCACTCACTAGCACCGTGACCTCAGGCCAGTTAACCTCTCTGGGCCTAAATTTTATCTTGCCTTTAGGGATGATTCTCATACCCTAGGGTACTTATGAGAATTAAATGAACTAGTACTTAAATAGAAAATATTTAGCCCATATTACTTGCTCTGTAAATGATAGCTATTAATAAAATTCATCCCTCCCTAGGCTCTCCTGGACCATCCTAACTCTGGGGTCATCCCTGAGATTTGGCTTTGGCCTTGAGATGTCTAACTCATCTGGAAGGGGAAGTGGGAAGCAAAGTGCTGGCCTTGCTAGTTAGGGCAGCAGTGGATGAAAGCAGGCTAGGTCTGGAGGCCTGGGAGTGAGCAGTAGGATGGGGCAGACAGAAAGGCAAAGCTAGCTCTTTTTGAAGCCTTTGCCCAGTTGCCAAGGACAACTTTGCCCAAGCCTAGAACAGCTGAGCTGCCAGCTTTTGGCATAGGAACCCAGGATGGAAGAGAAATGGGACAGGAAGAGAGCCACACACTTTCCCATCAGATAAGATGTGCAGCTAGGAGGGGACCTGAAACCCTGACTCATCAACCAGCATTCACATCATCTCCCACTGCCCCTCTTTGGCCCACAAAGCAAGGCTGACATTTGTTTCTTATGCACAGGAAGGACAGAAACAACCACCACCTACCAGCTGCAGTCTGAGGGATAGTGGATGGACCTTTCCATCCTCACATCTCTCCTCTTGCCTACCCCAGAACAGAGAGGCTGGAAGGAGGAGTGTGGGGACTGTGCAGTCTGGGCCTCTCACCATAGCCTGACAAATAAGCTGATGATGAAGGGGACAGCAGCACTGGCTAATTAAGCAGTCATATTTCTCAAGCATTGTACAAGTGGATTTGTGTGAACTATCTTCCTTCCCCTTTGCAATAACCCTGCGAGGCAATACTGTTATTATACCCATTTTCCAGATATGGGAACTGAGGCTGAGAGAGATGAAGTCACTGCCCCTGGTCACAAAGCTAGCAAATGTGGATCTGGGATTAAGTATAGTCAGTGGCTTCAGAGAGCCTGATCCTTCCCATTGCCTCAGGCAGCCTTTGTCCTATGCTGTGAAAGTGATGTCTAAGCTGGTGGCCCTGCTGTGTTTTCTGTTGGCATCCCAGAGTTTCTAGCTTCATTCTTTCCTGTGCTGATGCTTTAGTCTCCAGTAAGCCAAAATCTGGATTTTCTGCCTGCCTTCTTTGCACCCAAGAGCTAGGTCTCCCTCCAGAAAGAAGTAAGGTCCAGGGAGGGTGAAGGGATGAGGAGAAAAGGCTTGGTGCTGCTCTAGGTTTCCACAGCAACAGCCTCCCTCATTACTGCCTCTGCTTGCTGCCTGGGAAAGCTGAGGAGGGTGGTGAGGTGGGAGAGGGTGAGGATCTTGTCTCCTTTCTTTTCCTCCCTCACTGCCCTGCAGGTTGAACAGTCAGGTTGAGCTGAAAAACTGCATCTGACCAACCTGCTTGATGGAATTCCCCACCTTCTGCCCCACTCCAAGCTTAGTGGCTGGGGCCTTGTTACTAGGGGTCCTCCCAGGCAGAAGGGCCACCTGGTCCAAGCCGCCCAACAGCAGTCCTCTCCCTAACCCCAAAGGCTGAGATGTGAGCTCCCTAGAGAGGACCTCATGTTTGTACTTCCAGGGGAAATAGATACTCAATGTATTCTTGTTGAGTGAATGAATGAATGGGCCAATAGTGATCTATTCTGCACTGTAGCCACTGCCATTCATTTTCACTTCCTCAAAACATTATATTCAGCCTTCCCTCTGGGTCTTTGCCAATATGGGTGCCTCTGCCCAGGCTTTCCCATTGCACAGGACTAACTCCTACACCCCCTTCACATCTCAGCTTGGTCACTTTGTCAAAATTCAAAACTTCTGTACTTCAAAAGATACTATCAAGAAAATGAAAAGAAAAGCAATAGACCAGGAGAAACTATTTGCAAAGCAGAGCTCTAATAAAGGGTGTGCATTTGAGCATAAAGATGACCAAAGGGGCCCTGAAGGAGGGTGCTGCCGGCAAGGGAGTTCCTGGGTCTGTAAGTCTTGTAGTCTCTCCACCGCATTTTGTTCTTTTGCAGCAGCCCCGTAGCTGAGTGGAGCCTCTGGGCCTGACGTGGACCTTCACTGGAGAAGTGACTCAGGTGGGAAAAGTCTCCCCAGGCCTCTCCACCTGCAGGATTGCCTTTCCTTCACCTTCCCCTGCCCGCTTCCTTAGCGCGGGCTCCTCCCAGTGACCACCAGCAGAACTGCAGCCTCCTGCCGTAGCTGACCTAGAGGCCGAGGTAGCTCAGATGCCAGCTCCTTCCTCCAAGAGACCCTAGAAATGCCATTGGCCGCTACTCTGATGCTTTGGCAGAAGGCATGCCATTAAAGTGTACTGTGTTCGATGTAACTATTACGAGTTTGCATTTGGCTAAACGTGCTAGTGAGTGAGTTAATTAGCCAGCTGGGGTAGAAATAAGGAAACCATGGGTGGCCTAGGCAGAGTTCGATGGAGCAGGAATTAGGGAAACTGAGAAAGACAAGCAAGAGACTCCCGGATCCTGCTAGATGCTAATCTAGAGGGTGGGAGTGGGAAGAGTTCTGTGCACCCCTTCCTTTTCCAGGACTACTCTCAGGCCCTCCATCGCAGGTTCTGTGAGTGAGCGCAAGCAGCCCAGACTCCCAGGCCACCTCCCATCCCCTGCTTCAATCCCTTTACCTTCATTCCTGCTCCATCCCCATCTCTCAGCCCTCTCCAACTCCTGGAACCTTTCCATGGTGCCCCCTGGATCTCCATTCTTCATTTTGCAAATATTTATGTGATGCTCCGTGTTCCAGGCATTGTTCTACAAGATGAACACATCCTAACTCACTCCTCTTAAGAGCCCTGTGAAGTGGGTACTAATGGCTGTTGCCATTTCCACTTTACAGAGGAGTAAAGTGAGGCATGGAGACCATAAGTGCCTTGCTCAAGGTCACCCGATGAGCGATGAGCAAGCGTTAGAGCTGAGATTCGGGGTCGCAGAACCCATAATCCTCAGAAGTATCCCTAGCTCCTCAGTCTCCTCACCTTCTGACTGGGAGACTCCCCAGCCCAGCTTCCCTTACCACCCTCTCAGAGGGTGGTTCCTGCTTCCCCACCAACACCACTGGTCTGGGGATGGAGACATGTCTTTCTTGTTCCCCTTGGCAACATTGAGACTCTTCCTTCCTGCTTTCTAAAGCCCCCTGTCTTGGACCCACAGATGTCAGCCTAGACATCTTGTTAGTCATTAAGGAGTCCCCCAGGCTACTCTCCCCTTCCCCCCTGACTGTCTCCCCAGTGCTTTTCCTGTCTTCATTCTTGCTGATGTCTATGTCCACATCTCCACAAAGATGATCCTTCTGATACTCAACTGCTCGCTCCCATGGTCATGCCCGAGACCCGATCACCACCAATAGCTGGAATCTCTTTCATCTCAGCACCAAACATCCCAACATCCCACTTTCTGAGTGCAACTCCCTCTGCTGTGCACCCACTAGTCGTCCACAATTCTATCTCCCCTTGGAACTCCAGTACCTTTCCCTGGTCCTCACCCATCTTGCATCTTATTTCTCTCCTGGCTCAAATTCCATGGCAAATCATTACAATTATTCACGTGCTACACCATCAGCCCTCTTGTCTTATGCTCATACTTGCTTGGGGAAACCTCTACCCCAACTAAGTCTTCCACACCTGCAACCATACAGGTGAATCCAGCATAGCAAGTCTGACTGCTCTCATCAATTCAAGATCATGAGCCTCCATGGGCTCCACTGTTGCCTGGCAATCCTGCTCCATTTCCCTAATCCATCCTCTCTCGTTCCCCTAGACTTCTATTTCTACCTTTTTTTCCTGTCCCCAAACATCCAACATCTGCCCACCACCACCACCTCACACTGTGCTGAGACCTCATTCCTTCTTTTACTGAGAAACTTGAAGCAAAGCTGGGCATGGGGGCCCATGCCTGTAATCCCAGCTCTTTGGGAGGCCGAGGTGGGTGGGTCACCTGAGATCAGGAGTTCAAGACCAGCCTGGCCAATATGGCGAAATCCCATTTCTACTAAAAATACAAAATTTAGCCAGGTGTGGTGGTGGGCACCTGTAGTCCCAGCTACTCAGGAGGCTGAGGTAGCAGAATTGCTTGAACCCTGGAGGCAGAGGTTGCCGTGAGCCAAGATGGTACCACTGCACTGCAGCCTGAGCAACAGAGTGAGACTCTGTCTCAAAAAAAAAAAAAAAGAAAAAAAGCTAGAAGCAGTAAGGACAGAACAGTCACTGGCTCCTGCTGCCACCCCTGGGACCAGCCAGCACCTGGGCATGTGTGCTGCCTTCCCTCACGCTCACCCAGCCAACAGCCTGGCTCTCAGCAAACATCTCCACTGTGCACTAGTTCCCAACCCTCTCACAGTCTCACTTTGCTCCAGCAGTCCCCCCCTCCTCCTACTTCTTCTACTGAATCACTCCCACCACTATACAATGTGTTATTTCTCCCATCTTAACCACTTTCACCTCCAATTACTCTTCCAGAGCGCTGTTTTTGCTCACTGGCTCCAATTCCTCTCCTGTCATTCTCTCTGGAGCCTATCCAGTCTGGCCACTTGCACATGGCTTAAACCATGGCTAATTTGGCCAGGCGCAGTGGCTCGTGCCTCAAGTGAAAGAGAGAGAGAGGGAGAGAGAAAGGAAGGAGATAGAGAGAGAAAGGAAAGAGAGAGAGAGAGGAAGGAGAGAGAGAGAGAAAGGAAGGAGAGAGAGAGAGAAAGGAAGGAGAGAGAGAGAGAGAGAGAGAGACACCATGGATCATTCAAGTTGTCATCTTTCTTGACCACATCAACACTGATTCCTCCCTCCTCCTGGAAACATTGTCTTCATTCAACCCAGGACACCACCCTCTCCTGCTTTTCCTCCTTCCTCCCTGGCTGATGCTTCTCAGTGTCCTTCTGTTTTCTCCTCCCCTGCCCTGTAGATATTGGCGCACCCAAGGCTCCCACCTTGGATCTCTCCTCCTGCTACATTCTCTTCTGTAATTCAGGGCTTTTCCTCCAAGAGTTGTCGCTATGCTGGTGGCTTTTGTCTCAAATTTATGTCTCCCGTCTCTTCTGAACTGCAGACTCACCTCTCCAACTCTCTGTTCCCCATCTCCCCTTAGCATGTTCCAAACTCACCTCCTGGTCGCACCCCTGCACCCACTCCCCCTCCACTGTCCATTTCCATCCTGCACTTTCTGCCTCTCCCATTCCATAACAGCCACTCTATCTTTCAGTGGCTCAGGCCAAAAACCTGAGAGTCATCCTCGACTCCTTTCACTCTTTTACATCCCCTGTCTAATCTGCTGGCAAATCTTGTTGGTTCCACATTCAGAATATTTCCAAAATCTGAGCACATCTCCCACCTCCACTGCACCCATCCCAGTCCAGGCTACCATTGTCTCCTGCTCAGACCTTGGCTGAGCTCTCCACGTCTGCTTCTCTGCTTGTTCACCCCTCCTGCTCCCTCACCTAGTCTCCATATGAGGATCAAAGAGTTCTCATTAAAGCAAGTTATTGTGGGCTAGGTTCAGTGGCTCATGCCTGTAATCCCAGCACTTTGGGAAGCCAAGGCAGGAGAATCACTTGAGGTCAGGAGTTTGAGACCAGCCTGGGCAACACAGTGAGACCTTTGTTTCTATCAAAAAATGTTAAGAATTAGCCTGGTGTGGTGGCATGCACCTGTAGTCCCAGCTACTCTTTAATATTGCTTGAGCCCAGGAATTGGGGGCTACAGTGAGCTAGGACCGTGCCGCCGCACTCCAGCCTGGGTGACAGAGCAAGTCTCTCTCTCTCTTTAAAAAAAAAAAAAAAAAAGTCATTTTAATTCACTCCATGGCTCACTCCCCATGCCCTTCACCCTGCCCTGTGCAGCCCACTGATCTGCTTGCTTCTCCAGCTCTCCGGGCAAGCTCCAAGCCCAGGGTCTCTCCTCCGCTTAAAGTGCTCTTCCCCCGCAACTGCATGCTTCACTCCCTCAAGTCCTTGCTCAAATGTCATTTTCTCAGCGAGGCCTTCCCTAATCACCCCTTTACAATTCTAACCTCACCTGCATCCCTCCACTTTGTCTCCCCAGTGGAATCCCACAAGGGAGGGGTTTTTATTTATCTTGTTCACTGGTGCATTTGTCTAGCATAAAGCAGTTGCTCACCAAATACGCAAGTGCATCAATGAATGGATGAATGAGTCTACTTTGCTTGAATGGAAGTGAGGGGTTTCCAGGTAGAGGTGAGGTCTGAAGGCAAAATGAACGGTCTTTTGAGAGAAGAACCACCTTGCAGATAAGTTCAAGTAGCTACCGAACACCTCCCATTTTCACTCGCCCTTCCCACTCTTATCCATGCCTGAAGAATGGGATGCCAGGGATGGCAGGCTCTGCACTGATGTCTCACCAGAATGTTCAGGCTCGCGGAGTTGGCTCAGGTCCCTGGGCAGGTGCTGGTCTCCCTAGTTCAAATGCCTGCAAGACAGAGACCTTTCTAAGCCAGGCATAGAAATAACAAACTCCACATATTCCCAGTTATTTGTGGGAGCAAAAAATTAAAACAATTGAATTCATGGCGATAGAGAGTAGAAGGATGGTTACCAGACGCTAAGAAGGGTATGGGGGTGGTGGGGAGTGGGGATGCTTAATATGTACCAAAAAACAGAATGAATAAGACTTAGTATTTACTAGCACAGCAGGGTGACTATAGTCAAAAATAATTTAATTGTACACTTTAAAGCAACTAACAGAGTATAATTGGATTGTTTGTAACCCAAAGGATAAATGCTCAAAAGGATGGATACCTCATTTATCCTGATGTGCTTATATCTCATTGCATGCGTGTATCAAACATCTCAAGTACTCCGTAAATATATACAACTACTATGTACCCACAGAAGTTAAAAAAAAAAAAAAAAAGACAGGGGCCTTTCTTGAGTCACTGCACGTGCCAGGCACTGCATCCCCTAAGAGCTATGGCCCTTACCATGGCTGGATGATGACTGGATCAGAGATTGTTGAATGCAGAGATGGTTGTGACTGAGCCCTATCTGCACGGGCGTTCCGTGAACACAGCGGTTTTGACCTCCAACATGAACATTTCCACGCTGGGGTCTGACCCACCTTTGTGAGATTTGTTCATTTATATACAAGAAAAACTTCCCAAGGTAGAACTGGAAAGACCCATTTGGATGTGCACTTTACAGCTCTCGTTCCAGAGATCCAGTGGTACAAAATAAGAACTCTCCCCGGAAACTGGAGCCAGTCTGTCATCCGGCCCTAGGTGTGAGGCAGCTGTTCTCTTGCAGGACAGGGCTGTGTGCCGTCTCGTGGGCTCACCTTCCTGTCTTGGGTATGGAGTGACCCAGCCTGGCCAAGGCACTCGGTGCCCATCCACAACTCCCCATCAGGCTTCTGTGTTTTGCAAAATGCAAGGGAATCTTTGTGTCTGACCTGGACGCCCTCTGTTCCCCAGGGAACCTCCCAGGATGTCTGCCTCACCGGAGGAACTGAGTACAGGGGGAAGGTTAAAGAACATGACAGTGGACGAATGCTTCCAGTCTCGGAGCACCGTCCTCCAGGGGCAGCCCTTCGGGGGTGTCCCCACCGTGCTGTGCCTCAACATCGCCCTGTGGGTGGTGAGTCCTGGGCACTGCAGGAGGCAGACAGTAAAGCCTCAGACAGGGTTGAACTTTCACAGGTGATGCAGTGGGGGACCCAGTTGTCCAAATGGACAACAGCCACAATGATACGAACTACCTGAATGTCAGTCCTGCCCAGGGTGGCCCGGGTAGGTGGGCCTCAGAGAGAAGAGGCTGGAGGAACAGGCAGAATTCCTGGGATTCTCTTCCATGCATCATTGTCCAAAGGTCCACCTGGCCTCCCGCCTGTTTCTCACTGCTGAGGTCTTCAAGGCACATTCTGGTCCCATAGTTCTGAACATACCACCAGCTCCTTTATTCAACGAACTCTGAGCATCCACTCTGTACCCAGCAGCTGCTGGGCGCTGGCAACCCAGAGTTGAAAGGAATGGCCCCTACTCCAACAGAGCTCACCTTCTAGTGGAGGAGCTCCCTGGGGACCTTAGGGACAGGGTCTCCCCCAAGGGAATGCGGGGGGCCAGCCAAGGGGAAGGGATCCATGAACTCTCCCACCCCACATTGCTTTTCCTGGCCTGTAGCTCGTCCTTGTGGTTTACTCCTTCCTCCGGAAAGCTGCGTGGGACTATGGGCGCCTGGCTCTGCTGATACACAATGACAGGTGAGGAGGGGTTGAGATGGGTGAGCTGTTGCCCCCTTGGGGAGAACCTGCTGCCCCCTTGGGGAGAACCTGCTGCCGTGGTCAGGACGCGGCTCTGTCCAGTGCCCAAGCTGCAGCAGGTGTCTCGCCAGCAGGTGGCCTCTGCCCCTGCTCTGCCCTCCCTGCAAGAAGGGGACCTGGAGGGCAGCCATCCCTGGGCACAAGGCCATGTTTTTCTCTGGTCTTAGACTTTCTGGATCACGTGACTGGACTCCCAGGATGCCTGGTGCACCTGGCTCAGGGGCGATTGCTGTCAATGCCCAGAGCTGTGTGCTCAGCAAAGGAGCTGAGGCATGCCTGCCCCCTGCAGAGCAGAGGGCAGCCCTCAGCCAGGGAGTGGAGAGGGAGCAGGGCAGGCAGCTGGGACCTTTTCTTTCCTTTCTTACCTCCCTGCCCCGTCCCTGGCTGGCAGCTTGACCTCGCTGATCTATGGGGAGCAGAGCGAGAAGACATCTCCCTCGGAGACTTCCTTGGAGATGGAACGCAGAGACAAGGTGAGTGCTGGTAGTGGTCTAGGCAGGGGGAGTCCTGGCGCTGGGCAGGCGGGCATGGTGTGCACAGGGAGAAGCACGGCTCAGACCCTGGGGCTTTGCAGTCAGCCGGGCTCAACCACTTCCAAATTCCTCAGCCTCCCCCAGACTCAGTTTCCCCACCTGAAAGATGGAGATATTGACCATACCTACTACTAGGGTGCCAAGTAAGTATTAACTAATTAAAACATCTTAGAGAGATTTTTAACATTAATTTGTTTTCTCTGCTCAAATCTCCAACCCTTCTCACACAGTCCTGTCCTGCCCATGTCCCCGCCTCTGACTCTGAGTCAAGGCCTCACCTCCCATTTCACATAGAAGATTCTAGTCATCTGGCAGGGATTCCCTCAGCCTCAGGCTCCCCAGCCTTGTTTAGTGGAGCGCAGTCTGCTGCTTCTTCCCCTTCCTTGGCGAAGACCAGCCCTCCACCCGACTCATGCATCCCTTCAGCCACTTGCTGGGAAGCACCGGCTGTCTGCCATTCACTGGACTGGGAGCTAGGGGCCAAGTCCTGCCTCATGGCGCTGTCTGCCCCGGGCAGGGGAGACGAGCAGACAGATGCACATAGACTGGTGATAAGGCACAGTGGAGAACGAGGGGGATCTGCGGCACAGGGGAGGTCAGGGATGGTCTTGGGCAGTGGTGACATTTCACTGGGACCCTGAATACTTTGAGAGGGCGCCCTGAGAACGTCCTCCCTCCCCACCCCCACACACAGCTGAACTTCTGACAGTGGCCCATGCCGCTGTCTCCACTTCCTCACCTCTCACTCGCACCCGGCCTCTCACTCACACCCCCTCTCCCACTCACGCCCCGCCTCCCATTCACACCTCCCCTCCCACTCTCGCCTCCCTTCCCACTCATGCCTCCCCTCCCACTCTGGCCTCCCCACCCACTCACGCCCCCTCCCACTCACCCCTCCCCTCCCACTCACGCCTCCCTTCCCACTCATGCCTCCCCTCCCACTCTGGCCTCCCCACCCACCCCCTCCCACTCACCCCTCCCCTCCCACTCACGCCTCCTCTCTCACTCACACCCCACCTCCCACTCATGCCTCCCCGCCACTTACGCCCCGCCTGCCACTCATGTCCCCTCCCACTCATGCCTCCCCTGCCACTCACGAGCCCTGCCTCCCACTTATGTCCCACCTCCCCTCCCTCTCGCCTCCCAATCACGCCTCACCTCCCACTCACGCCTCCTCTCCCACTCATGCCTCCCACTCACGCCTCCCCTCCCAATCACGCCTCCCCTCCCACTCACGCCTCCTCTTCCCACTCATGCCTCCCACTCACGCCTCGCCTCCCACTCACGCCTCCCCTCCCCCTCTCGCCTCCCACTCATGCCCCCTCCCAATCACGCCTCCTCTCCCACTCACGCCTCCCACTCTCACCTCCCCACCCTCTCACACACCTCCCCTCCCACCCACGCCTCCTCTCCCACTGACGCCTCAACCTCCTCAAATGTGAGCTCCTGTCCATCACTCAACCCAGACAACCCTGAAGGTCAGCAGTGGTTCGCCCCGCCACTAAATCCAATGTCCTTTTCTCAGTTCACATCTTGCCTGCGTTCTCCGAAACGTCCGACCCCGTGGACCGTCTTTCTCTCTTGCACAGGTGTTCTCCCTTGCATAGGTGACATCACATTCTTTGGGTTTTCCTTCTAGCTCTCTGTCTGCTCCTACTGTGTCTCCTTTGCAGGCTTCTCTTCTACACTGGGAGTCTCCTCAACCAGCTGATCCCATACCCTTCCCCTCGCCCTGACTCCTGGGCAGTGACGCCCACACTGACAACTTCCCTTGCCATCTCTATGCATAAACTTTTAAATTCCTGTCTCCAGCTAATCCTCTCACTGGGCCCCAGCCTGCTTTATTCAATGTCTTTCAAAATACGTCCACATGGATATTGTGGTCATTTGGGGTTCCATTTGTCCGAAACATTTCATGATATCCCACCACACCCACCTGTTCCTGTGACCTTGGTCTCAGACCTCCCACCATCCTCCCCAGGGCCTCCTCTCCCTCTTACCCAGGCCCCCGAGCATGGCCAATGTGTCTCCACGTTGTGTTGCTTTGACCTTCCCCACTTTCTTTCTCTCCTTCCCTCCTACCATTGCCTGGTCCAGGCCTCCATCAACCTTTTGCCTGGACAACTGCAGTAGCTCTAACTGATCCCTTTAAGTCCACACTCTAGGGCCCTTATCCATTTTCCACCTGCATCCAGAGAGATTCCCCTGCCTGGGGACATATTTTCTGCTGCAGAGACCTTCACTGTCTTCCCAGGGCCCGCGGAATCAATTATAGATGCTGTGCCGTGGCCTGGTAGTTTGGTCCATCCTCCCTTACTCCTGCCAACTCCCCTATCCCCGCCACATGGGTCCACCTTTTAGTTTCTCAATAGGGCCGCCTGCTTCCCTCCACCAGTCCTTTCCCAGGCTCTTCCCTCTCCCCCTTCCCCAGTGGCCCTTCTCGGAGTCGCTCACCTGTTGTCGAGATTTCAGCTGAAGCATACTTCCCCAGGGAGCCCTGACCACCCTTCCTGGGTCCAGATCTCTTGTTATATAGCCACAGAAAATGCATTCCTTTTGTTTAACATTTTTAACCTGTCTGTAACGATCCCTCATCTGCGAGATCAGTCTAGTGTGTCTGCTTTCCACAGGCCCTGAACTTGGATTTGCTCATCACTGCACCCCACGTCCAATCCAGCCTGCCGTGTACTTAGCATCTGATGCGTATGTGTCAGCTGTGCTAAGTAAGCGGAGCCACGTTCCTTCCATTGCCATCCTCGAGAGGCTGGGTCCTTCACTTGCTAGGATCTGCCCTCTCCAAAGTGCAGAGCCTCAGACAAGTGACTTCATGTCTTGGAGGCTTCCTAGGTAGAAAAAGGGCAGCAACACCTACCTTGCAATGTGGCTCGCAGCTTTACTTTTAGAAACATCACTTTGATTTTTTTTCTTATTACAATGACAAAAAAAAAAAGTTTTATTTTTAAAAGTCTAGAAGATAAATCCCTATGGCAGCAGTGAGGGGGACAAACTGAAGAGGGCATAAATTAAATGGGGAAAGAGAGTTCAGTGAGGTGGCCCCCACAGTGTCCAGCCAGGATGGGGAGACGTCAGCCAGGGCCAGGTGGTGTGGGTGAAGAAAATGGGTCTCACCATGGTTCCCTGAGCAATTTGGGTCAGGCATTGTTACCCCCAGGTGGCGGGAGCTCAGACAGGCGAACTGAACTGACAGCTGTCACTCTGTCACATCAGCTGAGCTGGCTCCTGGGAACTGCGGCCCTGTGTCTGCCTCTTATGTGGCTGTTCAGCTGCTGAACTTTCTGAATGGTTTATGCCTTCAGAGCCACAACGGGTACTCAAGGGAGGGACCGCTGTTTCTTTTGTGCCTTCTCAAAAGGAAGCAACGAGGAAAGGCAAAAAAGAAACAGATGTCCTTTGCTCCCCTTGGCATAAGGCCCACCTTCTAAGTCTCCTTCCCTGTGTCAGGTTGGCTGATAGTTGCTTCCTTTTGGGAAACACCTCTTCCCCAGTCCGTGTGGTTCCAGAGGACCATCAATCAAGAGGTCTGCCCAGTTCACAGAAGTGCACATGACCCAAACGGAGCCATTCTAGAGCTGTAACCTTGTGCAAGGCTTTGCTAAGTCCTCTGGGATCCCAGAAAGAAGTAGGCACCAGGGTAACTTCACCAGCTACCAGAGCTGGCAGCTTCTAGAGTTGCAGGCCCTAGCCCCCGCTCTTACTCACCATTCCAAAGACGACTCTCTCTAGTCCCCCACCAATCTCCCCATGGCTGAGGCCACCTTTCCCCACCACCCAGAAACTCAAGACAGCAAGACCCCAAGAGAAAGGTATCAACAGGACAGTACCCTCAGCACATGGCATCAAAGATGCCACCAAACCACTCCAGGCTTCATGATGTTTACCAAGGTGCAGGAATTCAGAGGGAAAGAGACCTTCTCCCTTGCAACACCCATATCAATCTCCTTAAGAGATTTTTTTTTTTTTTAAATTTTAGTAAGTGGGGTCTTGCTGTGTTGCCCAGGCTGGACTCAAACTCCTGGGCTCAAGTGATCCACCTGCCTCAGCCTCTTGAGCTGCTGAGATTAAGAGTGTGAGCCACCATGCCTGGCTTCCTTAAGGAAATTTTAATTGGCCCCGCTTGGGTAAAGTTCCCATTGGCCAGTCAGTCACTGGAGGCAAATTCCCATTTGGACAGAGTAAGAGTAGGAGCCCACTGGACCACATGCATCCAGGGAAGGGCATCTCTGGAAGGAAGCATGAAGGATGGACAGAGAGCAACAGATGTTCACCCCAGAAGGAGTCACTTCTCCCCCTCCAGTTCAAGAGTCACCTTCTGAACCCCATTTCCTGTAACAGGAAGGCAGAGATGTCCCCTCATTTCCAAGGAAGCTTCTCCCTCCACAGTCATTGGTTCCCAACTGAGCCTTCAGACTCTTTTTCCCGGGAAGGAGGCCCCGGACACTGCCGCGGCTGCCTCAGATGACCCGACCGCCTGGGTTCCCAGAGCTGGGCAGGGCAGGCCAGGGCCTGAGTTTTCTCACAGTTTCTCTCCTTTCCCCACAGGGCTTCTGTTCCTGGTTCTTCAACAGCATAACCATGAAGTAAGTGCCCAGGCTCTGTGAGCTTGTGACTGTGTTGCCTTGGGGATGGGGAGTGGAGGCTCCTAGAAAAGTTAGCAGCCCCCAGCCTGGGATAACAGGGCCTGAGCTCCATACCCTCCCCACCACCTCGGCCCATCACCAGTGAAGGAGGCTTTCCTGGGTGACAATTGGTGAAGTGGGAACTGGGCACAGCCCACTGCCCCTCAGGGAAGGACCACTTTTAATAGCTGAATCATTACTCACATGCTTATAGAAATGCTTCTGTGAACTCCACACGAGGAAAAAGAAATCCTTCCTTTGTGCTATCTGCTTGATTTCTGTGAACATCATTCAGCATATCATGTGTTCGCCCTTCTGCCCAAGCAAACACATCCGGCAGAAGGGCAGGCCTCTCTCAGCCTCGGTGCCTGGAGAGCAGACGGGCAGCCCTTGCCCACCTCACCTTCTGGGTTTCTTGAATGCCAGACCCCACTTTGCAAAACAGCAGATCCCAAGTCACCTGTTTTCTCCTGCAAGCCGACCTCAAGTTACCTATTTTCTCCTGATTCCTCAACACCAGCCAGACGCTTCAGCAGTGCAGACACTTACCAGAACTCTGTGTTCCCACTGCATAGGCATACACGCGTGCACACTCATACATACACGCACACACACGAGCATGTGTGCACACAGCTCTTCCTCCACCTCAGACCCCACATACTCACGAGCTCTCCCTCAGTGTGCTCCATCTGCCCTGTCCTGCCCGTCCTTTAAACCCCTCCACCCCACCCTTACCCAAAGACTCCTATCATGGAGGCCCCTGTGTCAGGGACTCAGCATCTGGGAAAGCAGGAAGGCAGGGCATTGCACCGTGCATCCAGCACCCCTTGAGAGCAGTGTCATAGAAGACAGTTTAATGCGTTTACTGAGCAGCAGTAAGTCAAGCAGAGTCCCCATGCACAAACGCATGCGATCTGGTTGGAGAAATAAAGGTGAACAAGACTCCCTTCGTAGAATTCAGAATGGGAGGGTTATAATTGCCGTGCAGAGGGCATCTGGGGAAGAGATAAAGGAATTCCAACTGGAAAAGTACAGTTTTGAGCTAAGCATTAGAGGACAGGAAGAGTTTCAACAGGCGCGATGTGGGATGTGGAGGGCACATCAGAAGTAAAAGACTGTGGCTGGGCGCGGTGGCTCACGCCTGTAATCCCAGCACTTTGGGAGGCCGAAGTGGGCGGATCACGAGGTCAGGAGATCGAGACCATCCTGACTAACACGGTGAAACCCCATCTCTATTAAAAATACAAAAAATTAGCTGGACGTGGTAGCATGCACCTGTAGTCCCAGCTACTCAGGAGGCTGAGGCAGGAGAATCGTGTGAACCTGGGAGGCGGAGCTTGCAGTGAGCCGAGATCATGCCACTGCATTCCAGCCTGGGTGACAGAGCGAGACTCCATCTCAGAAAACAAAACAAAACAAAACAAAAGTAAAGGACTGTGTGAGCCAGTTTGTTGCAGAGATGAGTAGGGTGTACCCAGACATGGTAAATCTGGTGTGGTTAGAAGCAAGATTTCATGGTAAGTGTGGCAGGGGAGGGTAAAAGATTGGGCTGGAAGGATCAGTTGGGTTTTTTTTTTTTTGAGGCAGAGTCTCTCTGTGTCGCCCAGGTTGGAGTGCAGTGGCACAGTCTCAGTTCACTGCAACCTCCGCCTCCTGGGTTCAAGCAATTCTCCTACCTCAGCCTCCTGAGTAGCTGGGATTACAGGCACGCGCCACCATGCCCTGCTAATTTTTGTATTTTTAGTAAAGACAGGGTTTCACCATGTTGGCCAGGCTGGCCTCGAACTCCTGACCTGAGGTGGTCCACCTGCCTCAGTATTTCAAAGTGCTGGGATTACAGGCCTGAGCCACCGCGTTGGGCCTCAGCTGGGATCTTGACTGCTTTCATCTAGAGATAGTAGGGAGTCAATTAGTATTTTCAAGCAGGAAAGTCAAAATGATATATGTGTTTAGGCAGAAGTGTGGAGAGTGAATGGCCTTAGAGAAAGTCCAAAGTCAAGGTGAGCAGTTAAGGAGGCTGTTCCAATGGTCGAGGTGGGAGGTGCTGGTGACCTGAACTGGGGCAGTGACCACAGAAACAATTGAAAAAATTGTCTTCCACAAAACTGGTCCCTGGTGCCAAAAAAGTTGGGGACCACTGCTGTATAGTATTTCATGATTTATGTATCACAGTTCTCGTGTCCATTTCACCTTGATAGATATGTAAGTTGTTTCCAGTTTGAGGATGTTACAAGTAATGCATCTATGAAATTTTTATACATGTCTCTGGGTACCCGTCTTGCATTTCTGTTCGGTGTAAACCTAGGAGTGGAATCGCTAGGTCATAGAATGTGCATGATTTCCATTTCAGTAGATAATATCAACTGTTCTCCAGTGTAACTGGGTCAGTGTATACACCCGTGAGAACAGGAGAGCTCCCAATGCCCCACACTCTCACCAACACTTAGTGTTGTCCAGCTTTCCAACTTTGGCAAATACGGCAGTGTGGAGCAATAGCTTGTTATCTCATCATGGGTTTCAGGTGTTCCTTTTTTCCTAATAGGCTGCCTCTCAATACCACGAATGTTTTGTCTGGTGGTATGGCTGCACCATAGCAACCACTCAAAATGTTTGAAGAAGTAATAAAAGGATGAATGAACGCTCTATTTCAAGAGTGTTTCTGGATTCTTGAGTGTGTATCTGTAACAGAGCCCCTATCTTTGATATGTCTGTGAAATTCAGTTAAGGTATACTTCAGGGATAACAGAGGCTTTGAGATATAGGGCAATATTTAAAAAAAAAAAAAAAAAAACTTGGGGAGGCGGTGATCATTTGCTGTCCTTCCCTCTACCTCCCTGCAACAAGTGGTGGCCACGCTGGCTCCCGAGGCATGTCCTTGTCTATGTGTCTCTTCCAGGGACGAGGATCTGATTAACAAGTGTGGGGACGACGCACGCATCTACATCGTGTTCCAGTACCACCTCATCATCTTCGTGCTCATCATCTGCATCCCCTCCCTGGGCATCATTTTGCCCATCAACTATACTGGATCCGTTCTGGGTAGGCAGAGCTCAGTGGGCCCCAGGGCAGCCGCTGGACCTGAGAGGCAGCCAGGCAAGCCAGTCAGGGCTGGGGTTGAGGGTCTAGACATCTATTTTAATCCTGCCTCTTGGAGTTTGTTGTTGTGTGAACCTGGACAAGCCATGCTTCACTTCTCTCAGGTGGAGACTGGAGACGATTCCTCCTTTGTCACAGGTTTGGCCCAGGGCCTGACACACAGCAGGCACATAGTATTAATTCAGTTGGGAATTGAGTGTTCATTCACGGCCCCACTCTGGCTGGGTGTTCCTGGGGATCCTTTTGTGACATGTGACCCACTGCAAAGATCCCTGAACCCATTCTGTTGGACATAACACCGTAAGTGCAGAATTTGTCTTGTGGGACCTCTGCTCCCACTCACTGGAAGAGGGTAAGCCCTTCGGACAGAACAGCATTGTGGATGAGACCTGGGCTTCCAAAACAGAAAAATCAGGACTCCACAATGTTTACCCACACCTGCACCCCAGAAAATACCTTTGCCTAGTTAATATGTTATTTTATTTATTTATTTATTTATTTATTTATTTATTTATTTATTGAGACAGAGTTTTGCTATTGTCGCCCAGGCTGGAGTGCAATGGCATAATCTCAGCTCACTGCAACCTCTGCCTCCCGGGTTCAAGTGATTCTCCTGCCTCAGCCTCCCGAGTAGCTGGGATTACAGGCACTTGCCCCCACACCTGGCTAATTTTTGTATTTTTAGTAGAGACGGGGTTTCACCATGTTGGTCAGGCTGGTCTCAAACTCCTGACCTCCAGTGATCCGCCCGCCTCAGCCTCGCAAAGTGCTGAGATTACAGGCATGAGCCACCGCGCCTGGCCGCTAACATGTGATTTAACCTTGTATATGGCAAATCAGTCTCCCAAGCTTCACTTTCCTCAGCTGTCTTAGGGATTGGGAGATCACATACCTACACAGTGCTTGATATACGTAGTAGATGCTCAATGAATAGCAGGTAGTATTTCACTTAGAATCATGAAGCTGAACGGAGCTGTGTGAAGACTGCACAACTGGGTGGTGCAGAATAGCACCTTAAATGCCCCAGTGGAAACCAGCTTTACCTTGATTCCTCAGGTTTCTACCTGTTTGTCCTTGGCCAGAGGTAGACCTGAATTCAGTTTAGCACACAGTGTCCATACCACCAAATTCCACTACTAGAGTAACATCTGAGTCCTTGTCTTGTCTTATCCTAAGAGCTGGTATGTTGGCAGTGATAATATCATGCAGGATTTTTAGACACATTTTACAAGGGAGTGTCCGAACTGTCAAACTAATACACCTAGCCAGAAGGATTTCCTCTGAATAAGGCAGTGTTGCCTTTTCTGGACATTGCCAGTGGTAATAGTGTTGCTAATGTCATCATTCTGCTCATGGCTGGATGGCTGGTACCTTCAACAAGCATTCACTGGGTGTCCATTATGCGCCAATCGTGCCCTGGAGATACCACCCAAAGAAGTGTGCACGCTTTCCTCCCGAGAGCCCCAGTCAGCAGTGCCAGGGAAAAGAGGCCGCTGATGTTTTTGTTAAAAGTTGGGGACAAGCTCTGGGGAACCGGAAGGAAGAGGAGGACAAAGGCAAGCATCTCCAGACCCCAGGCATTCGTCCAGGAACCTTGAGCTCTGGTGCCCCACAGCAACTGAGGAGCCAGCAACTTCTTTCTCTTTCAGACTGGAGCAGTCACTTTGCTCGGACCACCATTGTCAATGTCTCCACAGAGTAGGTACCTGATCTGAAGCTCCCATTCCATTGGCTGGGGGTGTTGGTGTGGAAAGGAGGTCTCACATGTCAGTTTGTAACATGGGCACCGTTTTGCTGATAAGAACGGCCTGGTTTCCCTGGGAACCGGGTCCTGAGTGAGATGCCGGAAGCTGCATCCTCTCGGTGGGGCAGGACTCTTGGTGTGAGATGAGACCCTGTGTCCTCATCTGTCATGAGTGGAGCTGCCCAAACTGGCCACTCATGAAGACGTGGAGAAATGGTCCTATTTACTTCGTGTAGCCAGATTCCAAGAGGCAGAGGCCCTGTGCTGAAAGAGATTGAAGATTGTTTTCCTGCCACCAATAGGCTCCAGTCAGCCATCATACACCTGAGTGAATCACGGGCCTGACAGTCCCCCTCAGAGTCCCACAGCAGACTCATGTCCCCCCTCTGCCATTAACTGGCCCTGGGTCTGAAGCAGTGTGCCCCCAACACTGAGCTTCAGTCCTTTTCCATGTCCATCACTGGGGAAGGGCTGGTGAACATACTCTCTAAGCTCCTTCCCCTCACAGGCCAGGAACCTGTGGATTCCAACATCAGCCCACCTGGCTGGTGGCATATCAATTTACCCCGAGGCAAATGCGGCCCTGTTGGGCCGTGCCATGGCTAGGTGTCTAGGCCAGCTTGGCTGATTCCTGACAAAGCTGCAGAAGCAGTTCCAGCCAGTGTGAGTGGGGTTCACACACCCCTGCCCCATCTCGCCTCCTCCCACCCCTGTCCCTCTGCCCCTGCTCTCCTGCAATACACCTTGGAGCAGACTGGCTTAACCCAAACTCTGAAATCAGCAGAAAGGGGCTATGACATCCTCTCATCTCTGCTTTCACCATATCCTCCCCTGGGGATGCCAACCAGAGCAGGGATATTAGCTCCTTCCCAAGGCCCATTGCTGGCCCGAGGTACCTACATCTTCCCAACAAAAAGTGAATTCTAGTAGTACAGCAAAAAACCATCAGTCTCCATGAATCCATCCTGGCAGAGAGCTGGAGCGTTCTGTAGAGACCATGTAGCCTTGCCCCTCTATGGAAACTGAGGGTGGAGGCATCTAGCAGATGGCAATGGCGTGTGAGGTGCCAGGCACCTTTTGAAGCAAGGTGACCTTTCTCCCCTCTAACCATGTGGAATAAGGTGGGCCCTATTTCTGAGTAGCAATCCTAGCCAGATGCTTTGAGATGGCATCACGTGAGTTGAAAGCAGGGATGGCAAACATGGCCCAAGTGCCATGACTCTCCTACCCCAGGGGCGGTGCTGCAAACCATCTGGCTCTCCTTCCCCAAGGCCTGCAGGTAACCCAGGTTCTTCCTCACTTGGTCTGCTGGGCAACCATGGGGGCCTGAGCCACAGCAGCTGGCAGGATGATGTTACAGTGATGAATCTTAAGTTCTTCAGCAGCTCTGGGCTCACCTCCCAGTGCACTACTGCTACGGTGACCTTGGGTGGGTCACCAACCCTCTCTCACCCTCATTTCCCTTTGAGTGAAGTGAAGATAACCACATGCATGGCTATGTGTGTGGTTGAGTCTAGTGAGAAAATGCACACCATGCACAAAGTCCCACCTGGATCTGGCTCAGAGTAAACACTCAATACACATCCCGCTCATGAGCTGGAGCAAGACCCCTTCTCACCACTGATGCCCCTTCCAAGGCACCTCAGTGTCTGGACTCCAAGAAGGTGTTCCTGGAGAGACTGCATGTGGGCTGGGAGAGGGGGGTCCTGGGAGATTGTGATCGCTGGGAGGGGAGGGTCTGAGAAGACTGCAATGGATGGGGAGCTATTTGGGGAGACTGTGATGGCTGGGAGGGAGACCCGGGAGACTGTGATGGGTCGGGGGAGGTGTCCAGGGAGCCTGAGATGGGTGGGGCTGTCCCAGGAGACTGCGACTGGTGGAACAGGTCCAAGGAGACTGTGACCATGACCGGCTGGGGGGTCCAGGGAGACTGCAATGGGTGGGATGGGGGGTCCGGGGAAACTGTGATGGGTGGGAGGGAGCAGGGAGCCCTAGGAGACTGTGATGGGTGGGGGAGGTGTCCAGGGGGACTGCAGTGGGTGGGGGTCTGGGGAGACTGTGATGGGTGGGGGAGTCTGGGGAGACAGTGATTGGTGGGGGTCTGGGGAGACTGTGATGGGTGGGGGGGTCTGGGGAGACTGTGATGGGTGGAGGTCTGGGGAGACTGTGATGGGTGGAGGTCTGGGGAGACTGTGATGGGTGGGGGGTCTGGGGAGACTGTGATGGGTGGAGGTGTGGGGAGACTGTGATGGGTGGGGGGTCTGGGGAGACTGTGATGCATGGGGGTGTGGGGAGACTGTGATGGGTGGGGGTGTGGGGAGAGTGTGATGGGTGGAGGTGTGGGGAGAGTGTGATGGATGGGGGTAGTCCCGGGAGACTGCGATGGGTTGGGGTCTGAGGAGACTGTGATAGGTTGGGAGGCCCCAGGAGACTGATGGCAGGAGGCAGCCCAGGGGTCTGTGTGCAGTGGGCTCTGGGGAGCTCGCAGGCTGACCTCACTGCTGCTGCCTGCCTCCCTGTAGGAGCAAGCTCCTGTGGCTGCACAGCCTGCTGTCCTTCTTCTACTTCATCACCAACTTTGTGTTCATGGCTCATCACTGCCTGAGGTTTGCGCCCAGGAATAGCCAAAAGGTAAGTGGCCTACAAAGCTGCTCCCCACTGGGCCGACCACTCCCAGCCCTCAGAGAAGTCCTCAGAGGGTCCAGGGAGACTGTGGCAGATGGGAGGGGGCGGTTTCACCTGAGCAGGGGCCAAGCTTCCTCCCTTCAGCCCTAGTAACAATTATCTGGCCCCCACCTCTCACCCTCCTCCACCCTCCTCCACCCTATCACCCCCAATGAACTTTCAGACTGGTTGGTAAATAGCTGCTGCCCAGGTACCTCCTATCCCTGCCCCTCTGCTGCCCCGCCCCTCCCCAGGGACTCCTGGACTTCCCACCATCCGAAAACTAAAGGATTAACAAGGCCCAGTGGACCAGCGGGGGCCTCCATGCTAAGTGGTCAGGGCCCTGCTGAACTGCGGCTACTTAGTGTACCTGGCCCTGCCCACTCCTGCTAGGGCCATGCCTTGCCCTTCTGCAATCTCTCTGAGGTCAGAGACCCCCTGTGTTTCCCCACCGTCTCAGTTTGGGTGACCCCATCCAAGCAGACCCTGAGACTTGGATTGAGTAGCACTTGTTTATGGGAGGTGATCCCAGGAAAGGCCAGTAAGGGAGTGAGGATGCAAAGGCAACCAAAAAAACGGGAGCATAGAGGGGCAGCTTACCACTGGAGGCAGCTGGAGCTTTATGACCTGGGAATTCTGGGAGTTGGTGTAGAACACATGCCCCAGAATTTTCCTGGAGGTGAGCAATCGGGGTATTTTCCACCAGCTCCCTGTCCACCATTCATTGAGGGTTGCACTTGGGGGCTTTAACTCCTCCACTGCTTGCCCTGCACAAAAGCTGAACATGCCCCAAGGCCAGGAAAGAGCAGTCGCTGTGTTTGCAGCATGCCGCAGGCTTTGGTGTGCAGAGATGACTGACGGCGGGCCACGGGCAGGCACCAGCAGTGCCACCCATCTGGACCAGCACCCATGCTCTGGTGGGGAGGGGCAACAGCGAGGATGAGCATCCTTGGCTCCCGTCCTCAGCCTTTCAATGGTTCAGTGGTGTGGAGTCAGCTCCTTCCAAGCCATCCATTCAAAAGGCCTGATTCACTTGAACCCACCCCAGAGTGCAAATCCACATTCCCTGAAAAGTGAACCCAAATGCTTCAGCCTGCCAGGCGTGGAGGCTTGGTCACCCTTGACCAAGTCTGGTGTCTGCTACTTCAGCTTTCCTTATTGTTACCAGAAGCCTCTTTCAAGACCCCTGATTCTTGCAGCGCAGTTTATCAGACTGTCATCTTAACGGTGACGACCCAGGAAGATATTTCCCATTCACAGAATAAAATGGGAAGTTCGTGAGAAGCTTCCCTATCCTCTCCCCAGAGTCTTGTTTACTTCCCAGCTCCCCCACCCAGTCTCATGTGAGGGATTTCTCTAGCGATGTGAGGCTTTATGCTGGAGTAGTGGAAGCTACAGGGAGAGCAGAAATCACTGTGGGGTCACTCGGGCAGCTCTTTCCAATCATGGAGCTCTGATCCTCCACCCCAGCCTGATGGCGGCTTCCAGCCCTTCCTCCCTTCACCACAGTGGTCTGTGGCAGGGCACCCACAGCTGGACATAGAGGAGAACAGAAGCACAATGGACCAACCTCAGAGCTGCCTGGCTCAGCTGGGCCACTGTGGGCTAAGGAAGCTGGCACTGTTTTGGCCCACAGTGTCCCAGCTTGGCTTTGGCTTTCTTGGCTGTCTCAGCAAGGAGACACTGGCATCAGCAGCCTGCTGGGAGCAGGCCTGCTCCCAGGAGACTCCGGGCCACCAAAAGACTCAGGTGTCTGGAATTCCTATGCAAGCACAGTCTTCTTTCTTCATTGATTATTCCCACCCAGGTCACAAGGACGTTAATGATCACCTATGTGCCCAAGGACATTGAAGACCCAGAAATCATCATTAAGCATTTTCAGTAAGTGGGTTGGGGTGGGCCGAGGCGTGGATGGCTTCCTCCCCATAACCCCGCCTGGGTCTTCAAGTGGGTAGTGAGTTGGTGCAGGATGGTGGGACTGGGACACCCCAGGGTGGCTCTCCCTGGACTGAGCTCAGGATCTGAAAAGCTTTTCAGAATGGGGAGGGCCACTGGAGCTGGAGCAGGGTTTCTGAAGTCAGGGACTTCCTGCGTGGCTGTGATAGGGGTGATGGGAGTTTTCCTTTCTGCTGTTGCTCCAACTACTGGGCACAGGGAACCCTGGATCACAGCTATTTACAGCAGATCATCTGGAGACATCTTTTGTGACCCCAAGTTCCTAACCCCAAGGACACTGTTCACTGAGCTGAGTCTCTCTTCGTGAACAGCTCTCTCCTGGGTTCCCCTCGGGTGGAGCTCCACCCTTTGGCCCTGTTCTGAGTTATGTAGGAAGGATTTGACAGCTCTCAGATCACCAAGGTTCAAACCCTGAGGTTCAGCTTTAGGAGCAGAGATGGAGTCTCCCATCCAGGAACACCAGGCAGCTGAGCCCCCCAGCCCTGGGGGCCGACATGCTGGGCAGGGGCTAGGGGCAGCACATCCCCACCCCACAGGCCAACTCAGCACCCATGTTTGTGGCTGCAGCGAGGCCTATCCAGGCAGTGTCGTGACCAGAGTCCACTTCTGCTACGACGTCAGGAACCTGATCGACTTGGATGATCAGAGGTGAGGCTGCAGCGGGGCCTTTCGGCGCCCGGGGTGGGGGTAAAAGGGGAGGATGGGGCTCTGCTGGTCCCTGACCTGCAGGTCCTTCTCCCGTTGCCCACCGCTGGCAGGCGCCACGCCATGCGGGGCCGGCTCTTCTACACAGCCAAGGCCAAGAAGACTGGGAAGGTGATGATCAGGATCCACCCCTGCGCCCGCCTGTGCTTCTGCAAGTGCTGGACCTGCTTCAAGGAGGTAACTGGCTTGAGCATCGGGAGCACAGCAAGGGAGCGGTAGGGTCCTGGGGCTCTAGGATCTGTGCCTTCACCCGCACTGTTGGGCCCCAGGCCCCATTCAGGTCTGCTCCAGTGCTCCCCACCCAGCTCCTCCCTCCCCATCCACCATGTCCTGCCTCTCTGTTGAGATGGGAGCCTTTCTGGAGGCCACCTTCAGAACAATGCAGGGAAGCTTGCTCTTGTCTCCTTTCTGGTCTTGGATGGGAGAATGAGAGAGAAGGACCAGAGAAAACACAGCAGGCTACACGAGGCTGCCAGGCCTCAGGCTCCCAAAGAGATAGGACAGAAACATTTGAAGGCAGCAGCCTGTCTTATCACCTGACCACTGTGGCTCAAAGAAGGCGTCAAGACTCAGATACCTGCTTCAGGACCACACCGAACTTCTGCCATCCCAGGAAAAGAATCACCCTCTCTTGTGGAAATGCGGCAAACACATTATCTCACCTCTCTGGGGTCCACCCCAAGCCTGAAAGCCCCTGGGTACCCCTAGCTATGCCTCACTTTCCCCAGATCTAAGGGCAGGGGTGAAAGGCAGTCATCGCCTCTTCTTGTTCTAGAGGTGGGACTTTGGAAGCCAGCCAGGGTCCTGGGCTCCTTGAGGTGCTTCAAGGCCACCACAATCCAGGGAGGCTGGAGTGGGGAGGAACCTCGTGACCAGGGAGGCCTTACTGGGGCTCTGGCCCCAGCCCTGAGGGCTGCCTGCCACCCCAGGTGGATGCAGAGCAGTATTACAGCGAGCTAGAGGAGCAGCTAACGGACGAGTTCAACGCCGAGCTCAACCGCGTGCCGCTCAAGCGCCTGGACCTGATCTTCGTCACCTTCCAGGACTCCAGGATGGCCAAGCGGTGAGCACCAGGCAGGCACCCCACTCAGCCCCAAGAACACCCCTGCTTCTCGGCACTCTCGTCCCTCTCCCCCTCCAGTTTCCCCTTCTGCCTCCCCTGGGCCCTCCATGCTCCTCACAGGCAGCTGCCCTCTGGCTCTCCAGTAGGATGAGATGGCCATACCTGCTTCTCCTAGCTGCTGGGGCCCAGCCGGTCTCGAGGGGTGCCCAGGCCAGGGCTTCTCACTCCCTGTCCTTGCTTCAGCACAGAGGTGGCCCCAGAAGCCTTTGACCTCATGGTTCCTCTTCTGTCCTTGACAAGAATGACATCCCTTTTTCTTTTTCTTTCTTTCGGTTTTTTTTTTTTTTTTTTTTTTTTTTTGAGACAGAGTCTTGCTCTGTCACCCTGGCTGGAGAGCAGTGGCACAATCTTGGCTCACTGCAACCTCTGCCTCCCAGGTTCAAGCGATTCTCCCGCCTCAGCCTCCCAAGTCGCTGGAATTACAGGTGCCCGCCACCAAGCCCAGCTGATTTTTGTATTTTTAGTAGAGATGGGGTTTCACCATGTTGGCTGGGCTGGTCTGGAACTCCTGACCTCAGGTGATCTGCCTACCTCAGTCTCCCAAAGTGCTGGGATTACAGGTGTGAGCCACTGCGCCCAGCCGACACACACCTCACTCCCTCCTCACCATAAGAGAGCATCAGGATAGAGAAGCTCTGCTTGCCCTTCTGCTGCTGCAGGCCTCCCCTAATTCATAGCTCTACAGTCCCCTCTCTTTTCCGCCCCAGCCTCTGGCAGCCCATGCATTGACAAGGAATGAATTCAGTCCACTCTGGAATGTTCCAGAAGGATCCTTAGGACTGGGCCAAAGCCCTAAAGGAGCTCCAGAATTTATCTCTTAAGAATTGTGGGGGGCGGGTGGGCTCTTCTTTCTGGGAGAGACTGATCCTGTACAGCACATTGTTCCCACCCACCCCACCCCTACAAAGGAAGAGAACTGCCTAGATTTTGCTCACAAACAATGGTGCACAATTTTGCAACTTCCTTACACTCTCAACTTGTTATCTGGAAAATTTGGTTACTGATATCTGCCCTGTTCACCTCCCGGAGGGTTGACAAGTGATATGCCTTCTATTCCATTTCTGTGTTGTTTAAAGCAATACACCTACCTAAGGTAACATTGTTCATTCTTTAAGACATCATCATTTGGTAGAGAGGATCCGAGGCTTAATTACAGCGGAATATGAGCTAGCAAGCCAGAGGTGGGGCTCCAGCACCTGCTCCTCTTTGGTCACATCTCTAGGCCCCTTGATTTAGTCATCTGTGCATTGGAAATGATACTGGTCATCAATTAGCACAGTATCAAGCACACAGAACTCAATAATTAGTAGCTATTGATATTAAGATGAGGCTAAAAGTAGTACCTCCCTTATCAAATCTCAAAGAAAGAGTGTGTCTATGTGCTGTCACTGCTGTTAAGGGAAAGGCAGAAACAGAACCACGTGGCACCCCTGCCCTTCCTGGGCAGTCGAGGCACCCTCAAAAGCCCTTTCCTCCAGACACTGGGCCTTAGGAACTGTCCGCCTGTAAGGTCCTGAAGACATAGCCAAGGCTTCAAGAATCCCCAGGAAGGGGGTGAGCCCCCATCTGTAGGACCACCATAGTGACCCTGAGCCCCTGGCATGAGACCCTCCTAAGCCCATCCCCCGCCCCCAGACCCACGTCTCCTCCTCTTCTCCCCTCTCTGCAGCGTCCGTAAGGATTACAAATATATCCATTGTGGTGTGCAACCCCAGCAGTCCTCAGTGACCACCATCGTCAAATCCTATTACTGGAGGGTCACTATGGCTCCACACCCCAAAGACATTATTTGGTAAGCCTTTTCCATCCCTCCCCTCTCCTCTGAGCTCCTCTGAGACTGAAGAAGGCAGCAGGACAGGGCCTTCTCTCCCCATGTCATTGCCCAACAGAGACTCCAAGGGGACTAAGTTCCATGCTTTCCTAAGCACCACAACTTGTGTGTACCACTAGATTCATTCCCACAAATGTGGGAGGCATCCAACCCTTAGCAAAAAGGTTTTTCCTGCAGAAGGAACTCAGGTCCATTTTTTTTTTTGGCTATATGCACCGGATCCTTTATAAACAGTGTGACAGGGGGCGGTCCAGGGGCCCACTGCATGCAGGTCTGGGCCCAGGAGGCTGGATTAGACCAGGCCAGCCTGGGTCCACAGCTGGCCTGCAGCAAACAGCACGTGGCCTCTAAGAACTGATGTCTCTAAGTGTGCCTCCTTCTTTCATCCCTCCCCAGGAAACACCTGTCTGTCCGCCGCTTCTTTTGGTGGGCCCGCTTTATCGCAATCAACACCTTCCTCTTCTTCCTCTTCTTCTTCCTCACCACGCCCGCCATCATCATGAACACTATCGACATGTACAACGTCACCCGCCCCATCGAGAAGCTGCAGGTGCCTCCTCTGCTCAGGCCAGGCCTGGGGGCCCCAGGGAGATCAAGGAAGAATTCAGGCGAGGATGGAATGGGGGGGCCCCCTGGGATGCGGCTGTGGAGCCCATACAGTGCGAACATTGTGGAGGTGGCCGTGGTGCAAATGGTGGGGCAGGGCTTGATTTGTTCTAAAGGGATGCAGGTGGGTGACTGCCAGTCTTAGGGACCAGGGCTAGAACAAGAAGGGAGAGTGGAGAGTCCACAGGCAGGTCCTGGGGTGAGTTGGAGGGGGTGTCGTCCTGTCAACATGGGCTCAGAGGTCTTCATGAACGGGGTCATCCCAGGCCAGCTTGGAGTCCAGAGGGTGTGGCAAATGTGAGTGGCTCTGCTTTCCACAAGTTGGTCAGGGCAGCAGGCTCCTGGTTTGTGTAGTATGGTTGAGGGTGAGGAAGAGTGAGGTAAGTCCCAACGCAGCCCTCTCAGAGAAGTGGGAACTCCAGATCTGCCTCCACCTCCCTCATCTCCAGACACCTGCACTCTAGGCTGGGATCCCTCAGCCCTGGAGGAACCATCTCTGAAGTTAGGGGATGTCTCCTACTGATGGTGCAGGTCAGAGGGAGCCTAGCCTATTTCCAAATTCTTTAGGCTCAAGACTGTTAAGATGAGCCTGGAAGGTCTCTTCTTCCGTATTCTCCCCATCCTCATTTCCAACAACACACATGTGCACGTGCAAATGCACACACACAAAGTCAACACACGTGCATGCACACACGCACACATGCACACACTCACAGAGTCAACACACGTGTGCATGCCCACATGCACATACAGTCAACACACGTGAGGCCGGGTGCGGTGGCTCACGTCTGTAATCCCAGCAGTTTGGGAGGCCGAGACAGGCGGATCACGAGGTCAGGAGATCGAGACCATCCTGGACAACACGGTGAAACCCCGTCTCTACTAAAAATACAAAAAAAATTAGCCGGGCGTGGTGGCGGGCGCCTGTAGTCCCAGCTACTCAGGAGGCTGAGGCAGGAGAATGGCGTGAACCCGGGAGGCGGAGCTTGCAGTGAGCCAAGATTGCGCCACTGCACTCCAGCCTGGGCAACAGAGCGAGACTCCGTCTTGAAAAAAAACAAAAACAAACAAACAAGAAAACACGTGTGCATGCACACATGCACGCACACACGCACACACGCACACATGCACGCACACGCGCACATACGCACACAAGTCAAGCCGCACCACTTCTGCTGCTGATTTTTGTTCTCCTTTGCAAACTTTGTAATAGGCCCCAGACCCCATCCAACCCCAGGACCACAGTTCTCCCTGGGGACTCCTCCATCCTCCCCTCCTCACCCACTCACATGTCATCACAGCAAAGGCAATGTCATCTCCCAGCTAGCTCTGGCCTTAGGAGGAAGTCACTCAGGAAAGCTCAGGCTGCTCCTCCAGTGACCTAGACCACTTGACCTTGGGTGTCAGCCTCTGCCTGGCCAGGAAGGCCAGTGAGAAGGGCCAGGCCCCTTGCAGCCTCCAGGAGAGCAAGCCAGCCCTGGGAGTGAGTGGGAGGAGAAGAGGCAAGGGGAAGGGGATGCTTGCATTGACGTCTCTCCTGCCATCCTCCCCTCTCCCCCTGCAGAGCCCAATTGTGACCCAGTTCTTCCCCTCTGTGATGCTCTGGGGCTTCACAGTGATACTGCCTCTGATTGTCTACTTCTCCGCCTTCCTGGAGGCCCACTGGACCAGGTGACCTGGGGGCCTCCTCTCCTAGCCCTGTGGGTTCTGCAGCCTCTTCCCCTGCCTTGGCTTCCCCGCCAGCGTGGCGCTTGGGCCTCCCCTCTAGCCTAAGAAGGAGAATTGATAAGGGATGATTTTGATACCTGAAACCATCCCCAAAGACCAACAGATGTTCTGTCTTTGGAAGGAGGGTCTGGGTTGTCTCTGGGCCCCTGGGATGCTGAGATAGAGCCACTGTCTAAGAGCGTGGGGCCAAAACCAAGCCCTCCTTGGGCTTCTCCCTCAGCCCCCAGCCATATCCTGAAAGCATGGAGCCGTAGGCATGAGCTAGGCAGTCCCAGGCATTCCACGCAGAAGGCACAGGAGGAAAGACTTGTGTGGGAATGTCAGTAGAATGCTGTGGCCACACAGAGGGGCCCACAAACTCACTGTGACTGTCATCACATATGACCCACACCATGCCAACCTTTTACCCAATCAGGAGCTTTCCCATTTGTTAGCCTTGATGGGTCTATGGTGGCAGCTCACTGGGTAGAAACTATTTGCCATGACCTGGGCAGGTGGCAGTACTTTGGCTTGAAAGCTGCATGCATCTCAAAAGTTACTTTCCACACCAAAAGTTCCTACCATTCCACCAGGCAGCAGCCAAAAGATGTGTCCTAACGGAAATCCTTCCTGGCCTTTTCCTGTGGCTGAGAACAAGACTTACATTGATGACTGAAACTCTGCAGGGATTTTGAGTATTCTTGGTAATGTCTCTTTAACACAGAGACATCAACTATATGGCAGATCTGTGCCTTCCCATCCCTTCCTGTACCCAGCGCAGACATCACTAGTTGATCATGCTGTTCTTTCCGGCTGCCCCCAGATGCAGCACAGCTCACAGTGGTATATGGAGATGGCATCAGTATGCACGATTAAACCAATTTCCCAGCCCAGATCTCTACTCTGCATATGTCTGTATTAGTCAGTTTTCACACTGCTGATAAAGATATACCCGAGACTGGACAATTTATAAAAGAAAGAGGTTTCATTGGACTCTGTATTAGTCCATTTGCACTCTGCTGATAAAGACATACCTGAGACTGGGTAATTAATATAGGAAAAAGGGTTTATTGGACTTACAGTTCCATGTGGCTGGGGAAGCCTCACAATCATGGCGGCAGGCAAGGAGGAGCAAGCACGTGTTACGTGGATGGCAGCAGACAAAGAGAGCTCAGGCAGGGAAACTCCTCCTTCTAATACCATCAGATCTCACAAGACTTATTTGCTATCATGAGAACAGCAAGGGAAAGACCCACCCCCCATAATTCAATCTTCTCCCAATGAGTCCCTCCCACAACAAGTGGGAATTATGGGAGCTGCAAGATGAGATTTGGGTGGGGACACAGAGTCAAACCATATCAGTGTTTCTCTTCCTCTCTATTACATAGTTAGGCCTTTGGTTCTTATTAGGCCATGTCCATTGATGAGTATCTGTCTGTTTCCTTCTAGATCAAGTCAGAACCTGGTCATGGTGCACAAGTGCTACATCTTTCTGGTGTTCATGGTGGTCATTCTGCCCTCTATGGGACTGACCAGGTACCTTAATTCCAATTATCCCTCTTCTATTAGCCAGGCTGTCTTAGAGTTAAGACCTCCTCTTTCAGATACTGTAGACCTGCCCGTGGTTGCTGCAAACCCACTCCTCAAATGATAGCCCCGTGCCTGTCATGGGTGTAGCACGAGCCAGGCTTCCTGCAAACACTAACGTGTCAGCCGTGAGCTTGGCCCACATAGAGCTTATCATCTGGCTGGGGACACAGGCGTGCTTACCAGCTGCCTGACAGCCCCACATGGGAACAACACAGCCAAAGAGCAGTAGAAATTCAGAAAAGGGAGAGAGTACTATGAGAGAAGTGAGTGAATACTGTGAGAGAAATGTTTGCTCACAGTTTTGCAAACTGGCCCAGGTTGGCTGGAGAACGTGGCCTGGAGCTGAAAGGCCAAAGGGTTCAGGGCCAGGACAGCCCAGCACTAAGAAGGAAGAGGGGAAGTGTGGACTGGCCAGCTGGAATAAAGCAAGAGTCTTTGGAGACTGGGCAAGGGAGGATGGTTGAACCCTCAGCCTTAGCTCACAGGTTTGCTAACTAACAGACTTGCCTTGTTTTTGCTTCTAGTTTGGATGTCTTTCTCCGCTGGCTCTTTGACATCTACTATCTAGAGCAGGCCTCCATCAGGTTCCAGTGAGTACTCCCACATGTCCACCAGGGCTGCTGTGTATGCAAACTGGAGTGGGTATATGTGCTCTTCCCTGAGTCCACCACCTGAATTTGCTCACAGAAGTGTAGACAAATGCTTGTGAACACCCTCACTGGGCAGACTCGTTATCTTTCCTGTGCTGGGATCCCTCTGGCAATCTAGTTAAGCCCAGGGACCCCTTCTCAGAATGATATCTTTGAAATAATTGTATATTCGCAGGAAGTTGTCCCAAAACTGTATGGGGGCGGGTGTTCCATGAGCCCTTTATCCAGTTTCCCCCAATAGAAGCGTTGTGCATAACTATAGTGCAATATCAAAACCAGGAAATTGACACTGGTCCAATCCACAGCGCTTATTCTGATTCTGCCAGTTTTACATGTACTCTGAATGATGTCTTTATGTGCACAAAATACATGGATTACAAAGAAAACCGATTATACTGAATTATAGTTATCAAGATATTTTAAAAATCAAAATTTTGACATAGTCTTTATAAACACGTCAATAACAAGATATTGCCCCCCCTTTTTTTTTTTTTTTTTTTTTTGAGACCAAGTCTCATTCTGTCACCCAGGCTAGAGTGCAGTGGCGCAATCTCGGCTCACTACAACCTCCACCTCTCGGGTTCAAGCGATTCTCCCACCTCAGCCTGCTGAGTGGCTGGGATTACAGGTGCATGCCACCATGCCCAGCTAATTTTTGTATTTTTAGTAGAGATGGGGTTTTACCATGTTGGCCAGGCTGGTCTCAAACTCCTGGCCTCAAGTGATCTGCCCGCCTCAACCTCCTAAAATGCTGGATTACAGGCTTGAGCCACCACGCCCAACCAATATTGCATTTTTTATATAAGAAAGCTAAAGTTACATTTTACTGTCTTAAAAACATCAGTATTAAAACTGATATTACTTATTGGAAGAAGAACATTAAACTAGGGGGGATCGTTGACAAAGCAACACGCAGACCATGTGGGACATTCTGCCAATTTCAATTTTTTTGTTTTAGTGGTAAGAAGCGTTGAGAATCCCAGTTTTCAAAGATATGTTGCAAATGACATGCAAACTTCCATAACTTGCTCTATAAGGCAAGGACCAGAATCCTTCAGGGTATTTTTTAGTAGAGATGAGGTTTCACCATGTTGGCCAGGCTAGTCTCAAACTCTTGACCTCAGGTGATCTGCCCACCTCAGCCTCCCAAAGTGCTGGGATTACAGGTGTGAGCCACCATGCCCTGCCATATTGCCCACATTCTTAATGCAAGAAACTGCTAAATTTCAGTTAGAGATTAGTGAAAATAAAGATGTTATTCTTTCCCATCCTAGTTTACAGACCCCCCAGAAACCCACTCATGGATTCTCCAGAGTCTTTGGACCTGGCTCAGACACCCTTGCTTTGGATCAAGTCAATGCAATCCCCTAACACACCCATGCTTTATGTGGTCCCTGCCCCTCCCTGCTCAGAGGACTGCTTGTTAACTTAATTGGGTTGGGGGAATATATATTATAGGAGAGAGGCAGAGAAAAAGAAAGAGAGCAAATGTTATTCTCCTTGTCTGTATCTGTATCTCCATCCTGACTCCCATTTCCTCTGCTGCTCTCCTCTCTCTCTTCCCTTTTAACATCTCTCCCTCTCCCCATGGCTTCTGTTGCTGCCTTCCCTCTCCCTCACTGCCCAGGTGTGTGTTCCTGCCAGACAACGGCGCCTTCTTTGTCAACTACGTCATCACGGCAGCTTTACTTGGCACAGGCATGGAGCTGCTGCGTCTGGGGTCACTCTTCTGCTACAGCACCCGCCTCTTCTTCTCTAGATCAGAGCCAGAGAGAGTCAACATCAGAAAGGTACAGGCTGGCCCTTTGCTGAGCACAGCCCTCAGTTTCCTTTGGGAGGGTGTCAGGGATAGAGCCTGCTAGAACCACCAAGGGAGCTGAGGTGGGAGGGACGGTGTGAATGGGTGGCGGTGGGGCACCTTGGTCTACAGGGTTGGAAAGGAGGCTGCCTCCAGGCCTGAGCTGCCAGCAGGCTGATGAGGAGCCACAGAAGTAGTGAAGCCAAGGGGACTGGGCCACCTCAGGGTGACGCCTGCCTTCTGCCCCAGAACCAGGCCATAGACTTCCAGTTTGGGCGCGAGTACGCGTGGATGATGAACGTGTTCAGCGTGGTGATGGCGTACAGCATCACTTGCCCCATCATTGTGCCTTTTGGTGAGTTATCTCCAAGGCATGCCCAAGGGCTGCACACCTGCAGATGGGGAGGAGGATCTGAGCCCCACAACATCAGTCCACCTCCTGAAGCATGAGGAGACCTGTGGCGGGGAGGTGTCAGGACCAGGGCCAAGCCAGGGGTACGGAGGAGCTGAGGTTGGATGGCTGCCGACGAGGGATGTTTGTTGAATGAATGCATGAGTGAATGACTCTTCACCTAGCTGAAAGAATCAGTTCTGGGGGCTCAAGGGAAGCTGCTGGCCCCGGAGGTCAGCACCACAGAGCTCCCCCAATCCATCCTGGGCTGTTCTGACTCTGACAGCCCTGGATCTGGCTTCTCAGGCCTATGGAGACACTGGAGCTGCAAAGGTCCAAACTCGAAGGGGCCACTGAATAAGTTTCCACCTTTGGCCCCCCAGGGCTGCTCTACCTGTGCATGAAGCACTTGACGGATCGCTATAATATGTACTACTCCTTCGCACCCACCAAACTGAATGAGCAGATCCACATGGCTGCCGTCTCCCAGGCCATCTTTGCGCCACTCTTGGGTCTGTTCTGGATGCTGTTCTTCTCTCTCCTGCGGTTAGGTAGGTACCGAGCCTGCCTGGAGACCCCACATCCGCCTGCCCCACTGCTCTGCGAGTCCCTTAACACGGACCCTGTTCAGGAGAAAAGCAAGATACTGCTCGCCAGACCTGGCCACACCCAGTGACTTCTCTGGGCCTAAAGGGCCTGCATTAGAGTCTCAGCAGAGCTTCAAGGCTAAGAGGAGGCCCTGGGCCAACACGGTCCCCATGTGTGGATTTGGGTTTCCGGGGCTCAGGGCAGGAAACCTCATATTCCTTCTTTCTAAGTCCAGACGGGCAGGAAATAGAATATCAGCTATTGGGAGGCTCAGTTCCCATGACATTTCCTCTGGGATCCCATAAGATGCCTTGTTTTTTGTTTTGTTTTTTAATTTAATTTAATTTAATTTATTTTAATTTATTTATTTATTTATTTACTTATTTATTTTCTTTTTTGAGATGGAGCCTTGCTCTGTCACCCAGGCTGGAGTGCAATGGCCGGATCTCAGCTCACTGCAAGCTCCGCCTCCCAGGTTTATGCCATTCTCCTGCCTCAGCCTCCCGAGTAGCTGGGACTACAGGCACCCGCCACCTTGCCCGGCTAGTTTTTTTTAATTTTTAGTAGAGACGGGGTTTCACTGCGTTAGCCAGGATAGTCTCGATCTCCTGACCTCGTGATCCACCCGCCTCGGCCTCCCAAAGTGCTGGGATTACAGGCTTGAGGTACCGCGTCCGGCCTTAATTTTTTTTTTGAATCAGAATCTTGCTCTGTTGTCTAGGCTGAAGTGCAGTGGCACAATCATGGCTCACTACAGCTTTGACCTCCTGGGCTCAAGCAATTCTGCCACTTCCCCAGTAGCTGGGACTACAGGCGTGAGCCATCATGACTGGCTAATTTTAATTTTGTAGAGATGAGGTCTCACTGTGTTGCCCAGTCTGGTCTCAAATTCCTGGGCTCAAGCGATCCACCCGCCTAGGCCTCCCAAAGTGCTGGGATTATAAGTGTGAGCCACCGGCGCCCAGTGGTAGATGCCTGACTTTGTGAGTTGCCAAAAACCTGGAAGAGGAACCCAAGCCTGCAGTAGGGGCTAGCTTTTTCCTCACTCTTTAGCTATACACAGCTACTGTTCCTGCCCAGGGGAGCTCAGAGACACCCTCCCAGAAGCAGTCCCTGCAGGCCACAGATTAGAAAATCCCTCAGCTTTCTCCCATCAGAGGCACCTGTGCCCCCCAGCAACCCCCAGCCCCACTGCCCTTCCCTCAGATACTTGACCTTAACCTTCTCAGTGGTGGGAGAAGGGAAACGCGGTGTTTTGTTCCTTTTTTTTTTTTTTTTTTTTTTTAGAGACGGAGTCTTGCTCTGTCGCCCAGGCTGGAGTACAGTGGCCTGATCTCAATCTACTGCAACCTCCACCTCCTGGGTTCAAGCTATTCTCCTGCCTCAGCCTCCTGAGTAGCTGGGACTACAGGCACCCGCCACCACGCCCCACTAATTTTTTGTATTTTAGTAGAGACAGAGTTTCACCATGTTGCCCAGGCTGGTCTCAAACTCCTGAGCTCAGGCAATCCGAGGCGGTGTTTTCTTTTCTTTCCCTGTCATGGTGGCATCTGTACGGTCGACTCTCAGTCATTTATGTGGTTTACCCATTTGCCGTCACCCCCAGTTGCTTATCCCGCTAACCTTTCCCTGCCACCTCAAAGACTTCATTTTTTTCCATAATGTTTTTTTCTAAGAATAAAGGACTGCATGTTTATTATCAAAAACAGAAAAAATACAAAGACCAACATGCAAATGACCCATCATCTCACCCAGAACCTGATGTCTCTTGTTCCCAGCCCCCACTTTCAGGCATGTGCTTTGGGCGCGGGATGGTAGAGAGGGAGCTGTTGGTCTATTGTTACTTTACAAAACTGCGATCGTCCATATTGTAACATTCAGTCCTGTACCCTGAGGTTTTGTACTGAACATGATGTTCTGAGCAATTCCCTTGGTTGTTAAAAGACTGAACACGTAGGTGCCTTTCAGCGGTTGCATGAAAGTCGACCAGTTTTAGTCAGTTCTCCATTATTGGATATTGAGGTTTGCCACTTTTTGCTACTATAAAAACACTACAGTGAGCATCATTAAGCAGTGATTTTTGGCTGTAACGCATAATTAAAAAAATATTTACCTAGTTAGAAAACTGCTGCCGTAAAAAAGGAACCAAATATTCCCAAATGCAATGTAGATGACTTTTACCTTCTAGATTCTCTCTCTGTGCCATCAGCACAGATAACTGAGCATGCTCACTTCAAAAGGGCTTGCAGGGAAAGGTGTAGGTCAGAGATGGTGTTGGGGGCACTGGCAGAAATGGTCACTCCAAGGTACTTCCCAGGGACCGTGGTGTTGGAGGTGACCAGCAGATCAGGAAAGACACATTTTTATGGGCACTGAAGTGGGTACTGAAGTCAATTAAAACATTTTTTCATGGACTCCATAGATGCCAAATTCTAAACTGCTCAAATCAAACGGAACAAAGGGATGATGTTATTGTGTCAGACTCCTTGATGCCAGTTGTTATCAGAGGAGGACTGGCAAGGTCAAAGCCCTTGCAGTGGTGCTGTGACGGTCCCTGGGCATCTGCCAGTTGGGGTGGCATTTCAGCTGGCAGACTCCTGCCCATGGCCTTTTCTTCTCCTTGGCAGGTTCTCTCCATGCCATCACCATGTTTTCCCTGTCCACCCTCCTCATTGCCATGTTAATTGCCTTTGCTGGCATTTTTCTGGGGAAGCTTCGGATGGTTGCCGACTACGAGGTGAGTTGCCAGCCTGCCCCTCCTCCACTGGTTCTCCTGGTCCCTTGGGGGACACAGCTGTAGGATACCCTCCATGCCCGAGCTCCCATAGCACCACAGGACGAAAGGGTCTTGCCTTTCTCTCTGACCGTAGAGCGTGGAGCCCAGTGTGCATGCGTGCATGCCTTGCACTAGCTTAGGCTCTGGCCCCCATCCAGAAGACAGCTATCCTCTCCTTTTCTGCCCTCTGACACCTCCAAACTGCAAGCTGCTGGCCCCTCCTTCCTGTGATGTGGGTCCAGTGCAGTCACTGAGCTGTGAGCCTCCAAGGACTGGAGGTCAAGAGACAGGATGGAGCAAAGGAGGTTGGCGGGGGAGTTGATGATGATTCAAAAAAGGGGGGATTGTCGTTTTTTCTCCTTTAAGACCCCAGGCTATTGAACTTGAGGCGGCCATGTTTGGAGGTGGCCCCTGCCCCACATGATTCCTTTGGTTGTTGGCAGTGGGTCCAGCCTAATCATTAGGAGAAGGGAGCCAATCCATGCCCTTTTAGAGCCATGCCAACAACTGTGTGTTCTAGCTCAGCATTTCCCCGAATGGATATCTATCCTGGGGCACTGGAATGATTTCCAGTGGATCACAACATGATTTTTCATTTTTCATGGTTACGTATTTAACATTAACTTTCTGCTTATGGCAACTGAAATACAGTTTTCTGTTTATAAAAGTGAATCATTTCCTTTTTAAATGAATGTATATAAAGAAAAGAAAGCTGATTTTAAGGACTGACACCCTGCCGAGCCTGAGGAGGGACTCGGAGAAGGATCTCTTTGCTGCTGGGGTCTCTGTGTCCAGGGCTCTGGGCATAGGCGCCCACTGCCCTCTCTGCCCAGCCTTCCTTTTCCACGCCTGGCTGGAGCACCACACTAGTGAAGGGTCTTGTGAATGACCCCGCTGGCTCTGTCTTTCTAATACAGCAGCATTATGTGATTGGGTTGGCCAGGTGTCCATGCTAGAGAAGGAGGATGGCCAGGAACCTAGGCTGTGTTGGTGTAGGACACTTTCCAAATTAGAGGGGAAGCCCCAGGAGGAAAGACGACAGTGCTGAAGTCAAGGCTTCTCTTGGAGTCAAAGCAGGCTTGTCTTTGAACTTCAATTCCAGCTCTGCTTACTTCTTCCCATAATGGCCCTTGGGAATAGAACATGCCAGAAGGGACTCCCTTGCATCCCAGCCCTCTCTCTGTCCCCCTGGGCCTCAGTCTTGCCAGACTGAAGGTCTGGAAAGACAGAAGATGATTTGAGTTCCAAGGTGGCGAGAAGCCCAGGTGTGGAGTTGAGGCTCCTCTGGGTGTGGGGGGAGGGGCAAAGAGCAGGCCTCCATCCTGTAACCCACCACCTCTCCCTGCTGCAGCCCGAGGAGGAGGAGATCCAGACGGTGTTTGACATGGAGCCAAGCAGCACCTCCTCCACGCCCACCTCCCTCGTGAGTCCTGAGTCCCAGGGACAGGTCGGGAGGGCGGTGCTTGCAGGGGCGGTCTACTCCAGTGGCATCGTGGGGGATGCCAGCATTTGCTGCCCACTCTGGGTACGGGGGAGGAGATAGGGGACCCCTGGGCTCCCTCCTCTAATGGAGCAGGACTTGGTCCAGGTCCAAATGCTGCCGTGGCCCTGGATGAAGAATGAGAAAAAGAGAAGAGCCACCATGTACTCGTCATTGTCTAGAAGGCAACCAGAGAGGAAGTACTTGGTCAGGGAGGCCAAGACCACAGCGACCTCAGTCATGTAGACACAGGGGGGCCTGCTGAGGATTGGCCTCAGGACCAAAGGCTGCCCCTGAGGCACAGGGGCAGGCAGAGCGACACAGACAGAGCTTCAGGGAACTATTAGAAGTCTGCACTGCTGGTAAGGCAGGGACGCCGAATGAGCGAGCCTGTCTGCGTGCAGAGAGGCTGGCTCAGAGTGCAGGGCCCGCAGGCTGGGTGCTGGCTCTCACACGGTGGCTCAGCCTGGAGGGGAATGGGCATGAGCACCCAGCCACATCCCTGCCACAAATTCAGCTGCAGAGCCACCAATGAACGCACTGAGGTGGGTACTGGGGTCAGCCTGTACCCCAAGGCCAGGGCTCCTGGGAGGAGCTCTGAAGAAGGGTGCCAGGCTGGCACTTGGCAAAAGCATCCCAGAGGAGGCAGCATCGAATCTGACCCCAGGAATGGGCATACGGGGTGCCAGGTGAAATAGGGTGTGGGGCAAGAGTTTTCAAGGAAGAGGAGCAGCCTGTGCAAAGGCCTGGAAGACAGACCAGAGCTTGGGGGACTCAAGACAGTTTTCGGCACAGTGGGAACACGGCGTGGGCGGCAGGGCCCTATGGGAGACAAGGCTTTCTTTAGTTGTGGGCAGAGCTGGGTGTGAGTGCACAGTGACACAAGCACAGACAAAACACCAGCAAATGGACAGAAGTCACCGGGGTGCCAGATTTGCCTTGCTTTGAAAAACCCTGTATACAAGTCACCGGGGTGCCACGTTTGCCTCACTTTGAAAAACCCCGTATACAGGCACAGATCATCTCTGAGCGGGGACAGGAGAGGGTGCTTTGGTAATGAAGAGACGACAAGGATTTCAAAGCAAGAAAGTCTCTCTTTTCTTGGGACCCTTCCGAAAGGACCCCTCTGGGAATATTGTTAGCAATAAGTTTTTGAAATCTTCTCATGAGCCTGGTGCTTTGCTGTTTTCGCTCTTAATCTTTTGATAAACCCACACAGTAGGGGTTTTCATCCCAAAATGGAGGCTCAGAAGTTCCGTCAATATAGACTCCAGGGCACCAAGCAAGGAAGTGTCAGGACGAAGTTCGAACCAGGTCCATCTGACTCTAAAGCTTATGCTTTTAAAAAACACGACTAGGATTTATTTTTTAAATCCTGCCTTATTACAACAGGGCTATGTGAACATTGCACGTCATTATAGGGGGAAAGGATAAGCAGAAATAAGAAAATAAAAAGTCCATATTCCCACCACCCAGAGATGACCACTGGTAGTGTATATTCTTCCAGATATTTATATACTATGTATCTCTTCCAGATAATTATGTATGATTTACATAGTTTTGCTAAAATGAAATAGTACTGCACATACTGTTTTATAACCTTTTTTTGTTGAGGGGGGACAGTCTTGCTGTGTTGCTCAGGCTGGAGTGAAGTGGCACCATCTTGGCTCACTGCAACCTCCGTCTCCCAGGTTAATGCAGTTCTCCTGTCTCAGCCTTCCAAGTCGCTGGGATTACAGGCATACACCACCACACCTAGCTAATTTTGTATTTTTAGTAGAGACGGGGTTTTACCATGTTGGCCAGGCTGGTCTCGAACTCCTGACCTCAGCTGATCCACCTGCCTCGGCCTCCCAGAATGCTGGGATTACAGGCGTGAGCCACCGCGCCTGGCTTATAACCTGCATTTTTAGTTAACAATCCCTTTCCATATATATCAATTTTTGATCTCTTTGAGCACCCAGCCCATATTCAAATTTCCCTAATTGTGCCAGAAGTATCTTTTAGAACTTGTCCAACCCAATATCAAATCTAGCATGTGTGCATCAGGTTTTCATGTCCCTTTTATTTTAGCACAGTACCTTTTAAATGACTGGAGAGACCAACCCAGAAGTCCTGCAGAATATTCCACCTGGATTTTTCTGGCTGTTCATGATGTCTTAGGACAGGTTCCATGATCTCCTGTATTCCCTGAACACTGGAATTTAGATTTGATGGCTTGATAGATTCAAGTTCAACATGGGGCTAGAACACATTGCAGGTAGTGTCGCAATGTATACTCAAGATGTAACATCCTGTTAATTCCCATTCATTAATGATGCCATCATGACCCTCTAATTAGGGAAATGACAGAAGGATTTTTCCATGGTTCAGTTGACATTTTCCCCTTTATGACCAAAAGGTCATCTAGATGGTTTACCTGGGTGCCATGCAAATGTCTAGATTCTTTTGTAGGAAAACCATTCCTTTGACCAGGGCTGTTTTGGTTTCACTGAAATAAACTCCTACAGGGAAGGTTTCATTCCATTCCCTAATTACCTGTTTTCAAAGTAAAGAGATGGTTTAAGAGCCACTTCAGAGGATGACAATTGCTCTTTTTCCTAGTATGTCCTGTGTTTTTCTAGTCTGCTGCCGTCCCAGGCATGGGGATCATTCCTGGGTGTGACAGGTCATATGACCAAAGTCTCTGCTAGCAGTTCCACATCTTTTTCTTCTTTTTTTCTTTTTTCTTTTTTCTTTTTTTTTTTTTTTGAGACAGAGTCTTGCTCTGTCACCCAGGTTGGAGTACAGTGGCGCGGTCTTGGCTCACTGCAACCTCTGCCTCCCAGGTTCACGCCATTCTCCTGCCTCAGCCTCCCGAGTAGCTGGGACTACAGGTGCCGCCATCACGTCTGGTTAATTTTTTGTATTTTTAGTAGAGACGGGGTTTCACTGTGTTAGCCAGGATGGTCTCGATCTCCTGACCTCATGATCCACCCACCTCGGCCTCCCAAAGTGCTGGGATTACAGGCGTGAGCCACCGAGCCTGGCTGCAGTTCCACATCTTGAGGACAGGCCAACCAGTGACAGACCCCAGGGGTGTTCTGAATGTGCCGCTGAAGCTGTATTAGAAAGTACACTAGCTCAGGAAAGGGGGTCTCTCCGACCCCAGCTGAGGGGAGCCTCATGTCACCTTCCCTGGATGCGGCTTGACTTGGAACCGAGAGTGAATGGAACATGTTCTAAAGGAGCAGTGGACTAGGAGTGGGGAGTCCTGCCACTAAACCAGCCCTGGGAGCACCTGGATGCTCATTAAATGATCAAGAAAAATTAGGTAGGTGGGGCAGACAGGACCCAGGCTGCTGGGGAAGAAGGCAGGCTCCAAGGTTTGGAGGAGACAGAGGTGATGGGGGTGGGGCATGGGGGAGAGGGTGTGCCCAGGGCCTTGCTCCGGACGTGACCTTGCTCCTGTCCCCCGTCTCTATCCCAAGCAGCTATATGTGGCCACCGTGCTGCAAGAACCGGAGTTGAACCTGACCGTTTACCTGGGTGCCATGCAAATGTCTAGATTCTTTTGTAGGAAAACCATTCCTTTGACCAGGGCTGTTTTGGTTTCACTGAAATAAACTCCTACAGGGAAGGTTTCATTCCATTCCCTAATTACCTGTTTTCAAAGTAAAGAGATGGTTTAAGAGCCACTTCAGAGGATGACAATTGCTCTTTTTCCTAGTATGTCCTGTGTTTTTCTAGTCTGCTGCCGTCCCAGGCATGGGGATCATTCCTGGGTGTGACAGGTCATATGACCAAAGTCTCTGCTAGCAGTTCCACATCTTTTTCTTCTTTTTTTCTTTTTTCTTTTTTCTTTTTTTTTTTTTTTGAGACAGAGTCTTGCTCTGTCACCCAGGTTGGAGTACAGTGGCGCGGTCTTGGCTCACTGCAACCTCTGCCTCCCAGGTTCACGCCATTCTCCTGCCTCAGCCTCCCGAGTAGCTGGGACTACAGGTGCCGCCATCACGTCTGGTTAATTTTTTGTATTTTTAGTAGAGACGGGGTTTCACTGTGTTAGCCAGGATGGTCTCGATCTCCTGACCTCATGATCCACCCACCTCGGCCTCCCAAAGTGCTGGGATTACAGGCGTGAGCCACCGAGCCTGGCTGCAGTTCCACATCTTGAGGACAGGCCAACCAGTGACAGACCCCAGGGGTGTTCTGAATGTGCCGCTGAAGCTGTATTAGAAAGTACACTAGCTCAGGAAAGGGGGTCTCTCCGACCCCAGCTGAGGGGAGCCTCATGTCACCTTCCCTGGATGCGGCTTGACTTGGAACCGAGAGTGAATGGAACATGTTCTAAAGGAGCAGTGGACTAGGAGTGGGGAGTCCTGCCACTAAACCAGCCCTGGGAGCACCTGGATGCTCATTAAATGATCAAGAAAAATTAGGTAGGTGGGGCAGACAGGACCCAGGCTGCTGGGGAAGAAGGCAGGCTCCAAGGTTTGGAGGAGACAGAGGTGATGGGGGTGGGGCATGGGGGAGAGGGTGTGCCCAGGGCCTTGCTCCGGACGTGACCTTGCTCCTGTCCCCCGTCTCTATCCCAAGCAGCTATATGTGGCCACCGTGCTGCAAGAACCGGAGTTGAACCTGACCCCCGCCTCGTCCCCAGCCAGGCACACCTATGGCACCATGAACAACCAGCCGGAAGAGGGAGAAGAAGAGAGTGGTCTGAGGGGCTTTGCAGGGGAGCTAGACTCGGCCCAGTTCCAGGAAGGGCTGGAACTGGAGGGCCAGAACCAGTACCACTGACTGGGACCTGAGGCCTCCACTGGCGACTTGTTGAGGAGCCAGGGGAGGGCCTGGCAAGGGGAGGCAGGAGGGTGGCCTGGACCTCCCCACTACCTCCTGCAGACTTTGAGAAGCCCCCAGTGGAGACATCTGCCACCCCAGCCATGGGCCATACGGGCGCCCTGACCTGCTGCCCAGCTGGAACTGGGGGTGCTCGGCAGTGCTGAGGGAACCTGGGAAGGGATGGAAGATACAGGGAAGCCCATGTCTTGAAAGAGGTGGCTGGAGCGCCAGCACAGAGACTGAACGCTGGGGTCCCTTCCTGGGACCAAGATGGAGAAGGTGTTCCTAAGGGAGGAGGCAGAAAGAGGCCGCCGAAGGCTCTCTGGGGTCATCACCGCTCTGCATCAGCTGCCCTTCCAAGGAGCTTCTGCGGCTGCTCCTTCTCCCAGCCCTGGCCCATTCCTCCCCTGCAGTCTGAGGAGGCAAAGGTACGTGCACGGGGCACATTGACAGGACACAGAGGACCACCTCATCACGGGGTTCCCTGCATGGGGATCTGTAAACAGAAAGTTTCTGCACCCACCCGAGGAAGAACCAACTGAAAGCGCAGACCTGAGAAGAGGTAACTCAGCCCCTTCCTGCTCCTCTGCCCTCATCAGATGTCCCCAGGAGCAGCAGGGCAGAGGCCCTTCTCCTTTCTATTCTTACAAGGGTAGCTAGAGCGCGACCACTCAGGGCTCATCAAATGAGACTTGTGTGCATTTTTCAGAAGGAAACCTTGGTTAGTCCTTGCTGGGTAACACAAAGTGGGGTGAGACAGGGGCCGAATTCATGGAAGGGGGCTTTCTCCCCAAAACTCTGGGTGGTGGGAAACCAGCTATACCTCCCCAAGACCCAGGGTCTAAAGAGAAGACCCCCCAAAGCCAAAGATGTGGCCACTTAAAAGAGTCTCCTGCCTCCTACCCAACTGAGTGCCTGGGCCCCCAGCTTGGTCAAGATGGGCAGTACATTAGGGTAAGAACCCCATGCTTCAAACTGAAGGACTGACCTTCACCTGAGTCCCAAGTAGGACCCTTCCTCCCTTCTCGGGACTGCCCCTGCACCCTGCCTTGAAGACCACCCAAGCGACCTCCAGTGTGGGCCTGGTCCAGACACTGCAGATGCTTCAATCATGATGTCGCCCCAGGCCTGCCAGGGGTGGGGTGGAGGGGAGGGTCACGTGCTCCAGGGAGAAGCCCTTTCTGGAGAAGCAAGGCTGCCCTCCCAGGGCTGCCACCACCTGAGACCTGGGGGAGCTGAATTCCAAACAGTGATGGCAACATTCAGCACCTTTGCCATAGCTGGGGGGAACCGGCCTCTGCCTCTGGGATGGGCTCTCATTGGGACCACCATGTAGCCCAGCCAGGGAGGACATGAGAAGGACCAGTGGGGGCCTCAGTGAACCAGAACAAGCCAAGCTGAATGGGGTCTGTGTGTTCTCCAGGGCCCTCTTCAGCCCCCTTCTCCAAAGGTCTGCGTCCCTGCACCAACCTACTGAAGGTGGGCTCATCTCACCTGAGCACCTGCACCAGGCCCCAGTCACAGGGCTGCCCTGAACTCAGATCACCTAGGCCTTGTGCCTGCCCCACCTTTGCCCCATCCCAGCCCCAGACGCTCCAAGCGTCACTGCAGGTGAGAAATTGTGCTCCATGGGCAGAAACTGCTGCACCCCCAGGGCGTGGCCCACATTTTGGCATGGGGTTGTCTTTCCAGAGAGCTTGGGTTGGCTGGAGAGAAGCTGTCTTTCCCATTCCTTGTCCGGCTAGGACTAAAGGGGAAATGATCCTAGCCCAGCCCCTACACACCCAGGTCCCACAGGCCCCTCCCCACTGGCATTTCACCAACCAACAAGGGGAAAGGACACTGTTACAGCGCAGCAGTCAGGCCCAGCAGGAGCTTGGCACATGGTGGGGAGGTGGCCAGCTCAGACCCTGCCCGACCTCATCGTGTGTATTTGGTATATGGGGCGTGGGACATGCCAGAAGCTGGCCTGGGGTCTCTCCTTCACTGGACACAGCTTGCTGGAGCCTGCCCCCAGCCCCTGAAGCCCCTGCCAGACTGTGGAAGCCACATATGGGAAAGGTCCTGGCAGACAATGTGGCGGGATGGCTGGGGGCTTCTCCCTCTGAACCTGGGTCCATTGTAGCCTGGCTCTGAGAGAAGGTGGTGAGCATGTGGAGAAGGAGAAGGTTCCATAGTCCACTCTTAGGGGAACCAGCAAAGCCTCATGGCAGTTGGCTCCATCTGGACCTCCCATGGTCACTGCAGGGCAGTGGAGCGGGGCATCCTTTAGCGTCCCCACCACCACATCCAGGCCCTCTCAGGCACCTCCTGCCTCAGTCCACACCTGCCTCGTCCATTGCCCCCCTCCCTCCACCTGCTGCCATCCCACTCCTCCGCCAGCCACTTCCCAGCCGCCCCACCCCACTCCGTCCTCCAAATCACCCCCTGACTTAATCCTTTCTGGAAGGAGCTGCTGCCCGGGAACCGGTATTGCCTAGAGCCTCCAGGAGGGGCCCTCCTCAGGCCTCCAGTGGCCCCATGCCTGCCTGCCTGACCCTCCACTGCCCCGGGAGCAAAGTGCCTATCAGCAGCGTTGCGTCATCTGGGGCCCCCAGTGGGGTGGGGGGGGGTGTGGGCTAACCTTGGCCACCACCACTAAAGGAATGTGCCAGAATGCTGAACCTTCTTGTTAATGCTATGACCGTGCCTTGAATAAACAAGTCCTCCCAGCCTCTCCCGGCCCCTGCCTCTGCCTCTGCCTCTGCATCTGGGCCAGCCTGGCCTTGCTCCGCTGTGCAGTGGGGAGAACTTTCTGGTCCTTGAGCTACCCAGGAAGCCAGCAGAGTAGCCCCGAGAGGCAGTAGAAGTCCCTGGTGAGTGCTGAGCCCCATGAGTGGGCCCATGGGCTAGGCTAGCGGCCAGACTTCAAAACACACAGATTACAGCTCAGGCCCCAGGAAGAGCGGCAGACAGGGCTCAGGTCTGCAAGAGGATGAGGGTGGGGGACTTCGGGGATGGGGGAGGCAGAGGAGAGGTTGGGTGGGGGAGAGGTTGGCACGAGGGAAGTGTGTGGCACAGCCAGGTGGGATAAGAAACACCCGTTAGCAAAGGCTGTTATAGCTGTGGTGGCAAGGAGACAACAGTTCCCTGCCCTGGGAGACACATCTCAGGGTCAGGAGACCCGTTCTGTCCCTCCCTCCAGCAGCTGCATCACCCAGGCTGGCCACCTCATCCAGACAGTAGGGCTGGGAGGACATGAGGCGGACTGTTCTGCTTCGTGACTGAGCAGAGCAGGTTTGGGGGCAGAGGATGGGAATCTTGTGTGGGTGTTGGGTAGGGGAGACTTCCTCCCATAGTGCTTCCTATGGGGACAGAGGATGACAGTCTCGGGGTGGCTGCCTAAGGACTGTTTCTCGCATCTCCCTTGCTGGGTCCTCTCCGCAAGCTTCCACAGTCCATCAGTGGCCATTGACTCAAAGTCCACCATGGTGTGGGCCTGGGCATGGGATCAAGACCTGTCTACTTGTCCCCTCTCCCCCTCAAAAAACAATTATTTTCCAAGTCAAGTCAGCCCTTGAAATCCACAAGGGCTGCTTCTCAGGAGAGAAGCCATGAAGACTCCCTGACTGGACGGGAGGGGCTGCGCCCTGCTGCGGCCTCTCACGGTCCCCTCCCAGGGGCCGGCAGCTCCAGGGTCCCCAGATGGCAGACCTGGGACACTGGTTCAGCAAACCTGTCAGGGGCCTTTCTCAGGCAGAGACTGAGAAAGAGACAGAAAAAGAAGCTGAAGAGGGAGGGCGGTTGCCCCAGGGATGGAACGTCCTCCAGGGAGGTTAGCATTGGTTGATCCTCTCTCCACTCAGCAGGCAAGGAGGGACTGGAGGCCTGCAGGTGGATTTACTTGGGCTGGGGATGGGACTGGGGCAAGGCAAGAGGGAGCCCCAGGAGGTGGCGCCACTGGGCTGTGCCCAAGATAGGATTGGAGCACGTGACCGAGCGCTGTGCAGGGAGGAAGCAGCGGGGCCTGAGAGTGCCCCATGCCTCTGCCCAGAAACCAAGCCTGGGGCCGCATGGGGCCCGCCAGGGAAGCCTGGGGCCGCTCACTTCTGTCCTGAGGAACCTCCTTGCTGGCCGATTCCAGGTTTCTAGGTCTGCTCTGTGGAAGGCCTTGGGGAGGCGAGGAGAGCCTGGTCTATGGGGAGACAGGTTTCTAGGCTTTCTCAACAGAGGCTGCTTTCAGAACATCTGCCAGGCCCTCGGCCTGGACAAGCAGCAGCCCAGTAGCTCTCAGCCTCAATTTCCAAGGTTCTCCATCTCAGCCACAAATGGGAGTCACTCTCAATGTCCAGGCCCCATCCCTAAACAAACCACAATTTCTCGGGTGGGGCCCAGTACCCTGTATTTTACAAAAGTCCCCCAGGTGATTCCAGTGTGCAGGGAGGGGTGAGTGGATAAGGAAAATAGTCCCAGCCTCAGGCACCGCATGCCCTGGGTGGCCGCAGCATCTCACCATTGCCAGCTTAGAAATGACAACTCCCTAGCTCAGGCACGCTTCTGCCATCATTATCTTCTTTTGCAATAAGTATGACTACCGTGTGGGCCCGAGGGCCACACACCAGGTGTCGGGGGACTTCTGGCTACCTTGTCACCTTCAGCGAGGGTTCGAAGACAGTCCCTCTTCCCTCCCCTCCAAACACAGAGCCCAAGTGGTTTCCATGACCGCCTGCCCATTTCTGTGCAATAGAACATGATAACTGCAGTCAACAAATAGGCCGACATAATGGGGCGTCAGGGAGAGACAAAGCTAGATAAGGGTGGGGGGTGCCTGGAGGCGGGAAAGGATGCTTTGCACTAGGGGGGCCAGCACAAGCTCTGTGGGGGTGAGACATGAGAGCCAGCAAAGGGTCTGTGGGCACACATGCAGGGCCCAAAGAACCGGGCAGAGTGAGCGAGGGGAGGAGAGGGTGGGGCGAGGTTTGAGTGGGCAACGGGCTGTGCAGGCTACACTGGGACTCCCAAGTGTCACTCATCACCCGAGAAACTCCGGGAGGATTCTGGGGAGGAGGATGACCCCCTTAGGTATTTGTTTTCCAGGTTTTTTTGTTGTGGTGGTGGTGGTGGTAAAGTACACATAATCGTATTCACCCTGTTAACCATTGATGGGTTTTTTGTTTGTTTTTTGTTGTTGTTGTTGTTGTTGAGACAGAGTCTTGCTCTGTTGCCCAGGCTGGAGTGCAATGGCATGATCTCATTGCACTGCAACCTCCGCTTCCCAGGTTCAAGCAATTCTCCTGCCTCAGCCTCCCGAGTAGCTGGGATTACAGGCACACGCCACCACCATTTTTGTATTTTTAGTAGAGACGGGGTATCACCATATTGGCCAGGCTGGTCTCGAACTCCTGGCTTCAAGCAATCCACCCACCTCGGCCTCCCAAAGTGCTAGGATTACAGGCGTGAGCCACCGCACCCATCCACCATCTTAACCACTTGTAACTGTCCTGTTCAGTGGCATGAAATACATTCATAATGTGCAACCATCACCACCAGCCATCCTCCACAACTCTTTATCTTGCAAAACTGAGACTGTATACCCATAAACAATAATTCCTCATTCTCTCCTCCCCATCAGCCCCTGGCAACCACTCATGTAACCCTTGTGCTGAAATGGTCACTGTCACGAGGGTGGGACAAGTAGAAGCAGAAAGCCCAGTTGGGGACAGGTGTGGTGGTGCACACCTGTAATCCCAGCACTTTGGGAGGCTGAGGTGAGAGGATTACTTGGGGCTAGGAGCTTGAGACCAGCCTGGGCAACAAAGCAAGACCCTATCCCCACAAAAATTTTAAAAATTACCTGGGGCATAGTGGCATGCACCTGGAGTCCCAGCTACTCGGGAGACTGAGGCAGGAGGATTCCTTGAACCCAGGAGTTAAAGGCTGCAGTGAGCAATGATCATGCCACCACACTTCAGCCTGGGCAACAGAGTGAGATCCTGTCTCAAAAAAAAAAAAAAAAGCCTAGTTGGGACTGTGTCGGCGGCATGCAGGGGAGAGAATATGGTAGCTCGCACCAGGATAGGGAGTGAATAAAGAAGCAGTTAAATTTGGAACACAGGTCAAGGATTCATGGATGATTAGATGTGGGGTCTGAGGGAAAGCAGGAATGCAAGGATGACTCCCAGTTCTTTAGTGTGAAGAACTCAGCAAACACTGATTTCTGAGGTGGAGAAAGCTGGGAAGAAAAAGGCCAAGGGAAACCCCAAGAGTTCCATCTGGAGTGTGTTCCGGTTGAGATGCCATGTGGGGATGTCAAGGAGGTGGCTGGATACAGGAGTCAGGCTGGAGGTGTTCATTTCAGTCATCAGCACCTGGGTGGTGATTAAAGCATGGGACTGGCTGAGACTTTGATGGGAGCAGGTGCAGGTGAGGAGGTCTGAGGGCTGAGCCAGCACAAAGATATAGGAGGAGAACCGGCAAGGAAAACCAGGAGGGACTCAAAAAGGAAGGACGGCGTCCCCAGCTCTAACCACGCTTGAGAGTAAATGTGGCATAAAGAGGAGTAAAGTCAAAAGATGCCACGAAGCAGCTTCAGCCAAGTGGAGAATGCTGGATAGACCATTAGACAAATGACCCGATTCTCCCACACAGCAATGGTGAGGGGAAATGGCAAGAAGGGCTGGGCCAGTGAATGAGTGAAGAGACACAATCAAATGCAAAGTGTGCATCCTGAGTTGAACAAACCAACTGCAGAGAGATGTCTGGGAAATCTACATGTGGATGAATGTGGGCCATCAGGGAATTGGAATTAGGTGGTGATGAGGAGATACTGTTTGTCTTGTTAGGTATATTGGTGGTGTGGGTTCATATGTGAAATAAAGTGCCAGCTAGAAATTCATATGGAATAATTTACAGGTAAAAGAACATGAAGTCTTGAATTTGCTTAAAAACTCTCCAGCAAAAACAAAAAAACACAAAAAATGGTGGTGGGGGGGGTGCAGTTGGGGTACACGGAGATGCCCTCATCTCTTGATTCTTGTGTATGTTAACATTTTTCCATAATAAAAAGTGTAAAACTAAAGGCATGACCAACTTTTTCAAGTGCTGCTGAGCAGGAGAGGAAGATAAGGACTAAGATGTGACCCTACATTTGGCAAGATGGGGGTGGTTGGTGACCTTGACTGTAGTAGATTGAAAATAGGGACAAAGCCTGGTTGAAGCAGGTTCCCATCCTCCCATAAGAAGTGAGGAGATGAAAACAGCAAGGAAAGACTACTCTTTAGAAGGGTTTTGCTTTCGAAGGAAGTAAAGAACCAAAAGGGTAGCTGGAGAGGAAAGGAAGTGAGGGGCTGTTCTTTGTATAGGAGGGGAGATATGAGCTGACAGAGGAGGGATGCAGGAGAGAGAGAGGGCTGAGCCCTTGAGCAGAGGAGGAGGTAAGGGATATTCTCCCCTGATACAGACACGTGTGTGCGTGCACACACGTGCACACACACACGTGCACACACACCAGTGCATGCCCATGCACACACGCACTCACGCCTAAGTAGAAGAGTGGCTTTCAAAAAAGGTGAAAACACTCATGCTTAGGATGACTCAGACACAAGTCAGAGGAGGGCATTAGATCTTTCCAAAGCCAGGCCACCTCAAGAGCTGTGGGCCAGACATGGACACCTGAGCCTGACCCATTAATAGGTCACGCAGCAGACGAGGCCCTGCCTCATTGGAGCCTGTAGGGCTCCAGAA